GGGGGGGGGTCACGGGCACCCAGGAGCCCCCTGGCTACCCCCTTGACTATATCAAAGGTGATTAAAGTTAACTACAATAACTCTACTGACCTCAACTTTAGAAAAACGGAGATATTTGTCCCTATTTTGGTGGAACGATTCCTAACTAATCTTTTCCTAAAACAAATTGCTCAAACAAGATATTACCGTACAACAAAACCTCGGCGTTACTTTTATATCTAGAAATTTTTTCTCCCTTTTTTTCAGAAACACTCACATAAATGTCACATAGACGAATATGACCAGTGCTTCCCCAACGAGGGATAAGGAGCAACCAACGTAGGTAATAATGAGCAATGCCCTTCTGTGCTCCGGTGGAATGTTACCTTCCTGAGAATCAAAAAGAAAAAAGAAAACAGGTGGAAAATGAGATAAAAATTACAAAGTGGTTGAGAGATTATGACTTAAAAGCTTTGGATTCGTTGGAAATTCTACTAACTCCGCGATTAGCCGTTCCAAAAGTGATGTATTGCTAAATAACGTTCGAAACGTCAGCTTTGAAACTTTTTACGGTGGCCAATTTACTTTATCAACTCAGTTGATAAAACCAGAATTACCTTATAATTGTACCCTACCGACGCAGCACCACAATTTCTTTAGAAACTAACCCCCTTTGTTCATTTCTCTCCACAAATAGCTTGTAAAAATGAACTATTCATAGGCCGACGAAGGGCTAACCCTCGAAACGTCAGCTTTTGTAATCGTTACGGTGGCCAATTTACCATTTCAACTTTGTTGATATATCCAAATTATTCATAGCCCGATCTGATACGAACAGACTTGCCTTTGAAGGAATTATTAAAGTATACCTCCTGGCGAATAAAAACCAGTGACCTCCTGGCGAATAAAAACCAGTGTGATAAGAATGACCCAAAGACAAAATTCAGTAGTCACAGAGGTGGAATGGAGCAATAAGCTTAAAAAAAAATCCAAACGCAATCACGATCACTGCAAACAACCGTATACAATTAGATGCGTGCGCATAAGCGACGCACATGGCACACGATGAACTTGAAGTCTTGTAGGGAGTTTTATTTTTTTTTAGTTCCCAAGATAGCAATGACTCTTGGATGAAACATTCACAACATCACACCTCAATGTCCTTGTATTGCATTAGAACTGCGAAATTCGTGAGGTGGTTACAACTGCAAACAGTCGAAAGCATGGAAGAATCATTCAGTACCGTGCAGCCATCACTTGACCACGAACCGCCGTTCGTGGAGCTAAAAATAATTTGATAATAAACTATGGATAAGAAAGAAGAAAGACTGAAATAGAAAAATAAAGAAAGAACCTTCCACATATACTAAATGCCCAAAATCTAACAGATGACTGAATAATTAAATTGACCTACTTGAAATCCTCCATCCAGAAGACGCATTGCCTTTCGACAATTTTTGGATCAATCTTCAGCTACCAAAGGAAGCGTAATGACGTTATGGTGAGAAATGACTACTACACTTTCCATCTAATATAAGCCCCATTCAAATGGTCGAAATTCCTTTGCCGATAACTACATTTAAAAACACAATATAGTCTATTTTACCTCGTTGTGACTAAAATAAATGATGATTTTATCTTGAATAGTTTCATTCTGAGGAGGGTCAAGTTCAATTCCAACGACATCAGAAATCAGTGTATAGCTACAAAGATAACAAAACATACTTAAATCTTGTGTGTCTATTAGTATATCACTAGCTAATGACGCACGAGTCTATCTTGACATTTCTGGGCTATTTGTACCATTTCCTGTAATTTTTCCCCCCCAGAATCTATTGAAGTTAAAAAAAATAATAACAAAATGAAATACGTAAATTAAAGCTCCCCCTGAGGGGCTATTCGGCCACAGTGTAGACTAACTAAGTAGTTAAAAATCCACACTGGCAGAAGGCAGACCAGTGGGCCATTTACAGAACACAGCCGAGGATTTTAACTAGTGGCAACTGAGAACAAATCCAGTGATTAGCAGGGGGGAGGATTTGAACCCGAGACACAAGTTCAGCACCCTGACCACTCGGGCACGCCGCCTCCTCTAGCTTGCAAACTGAAACCTTAAACTTGAATGGAGCTATCCACAGATTAAGTCCCAGTGAGAGGACTGTTTGGCAGAACGGTATCTCGGCTCCTCCCATTTACGCTCTCCTTACACCTGCTATTGGAGAACTAGAATTTAAAACAGTAACTAATATCCTTTCGCCTTGCACTTAGAAACGACTCTCTTTAATGGATAATTACTAATTCTTACATGCTGCCGTTATAATTCCAAAGACTGGCTTCATTCCTTGCTTTTCGGTGCAATATAACTGCAATAACCCTCCCTGAAGGAATGGCGAAAAAATTTAACATATTAATAAAAATTTGCATACTAATCAAAAGACAACTTTGTTACTTTTTTAACTCCCGGTTAACTCAATAGATAGAGCGCTGGACTGTTTTGCGGGAGGTCGAGGGTTCGAGCCCTGGCCGGACCAACACTCAAGGTCTTAAAATAATTGAGAAGAATATGCTACCTTTCCTTAACATCAAAGAAATGGTTTGATATTCTAGTCTTCTCGGATAGGGACGAATAAATGGAGGTCCCGTCTCCTGCAGGGTTGGGGTAGGAGACGTTAATTTCCCACACACGAGATTACTGTGTGATGGATGTCCTCCCCTAGGGTGGGATGGGTGGGAGGGTGTACTAGCACGAATGGTTCCAATGTTCCTTTCTAGTCCTTCCCCACTGCAAAACTTAATGCAATGAAAATGGACTAAATTAAATTAACTCCAACTGATAATGAATCTTAGCGTTCAGAAGAGACTTCATATACCTACCTGCGTCTTTAAACACTTTGTAGGTGATAATAACTTGGACCATTTTGCTCTCACTGCTGTTGTTATTTATATAAAAACTGATCTCAACATCAGTGGAAACTCCTTTAGGTACTTTTCTCACTTTAGTATCTATGATATTTCAGTAAAAAAAAAGGAAATGAAAATGTAGAAATTAAGTCAAATGAACTCTACAAAATTAGCTGTACATCGATGGCTATAGGACTACAGAAGAGGTGAAGTCATCCAAGATGGCAGCCAACTTGACAGCCGCCATCCTAGAACGCCTTTCAAAACAAAGAAAAGAAAAAGTTTGAAAGTTAGCATGAAATTTCTTGCAATTTGATCCTAAGTATCCGAATGTTTCAGATAATTTTTCAGAAACACTTTCATCGAATAAACATAAAATCTAGCAGTTTCATTGAGAATGAATTCCTAGTTATTTTCTTGAGGCATACTGTTACCACAGTAACCGACTACACCCAACTCGCCCTTAAAAGAAACTTGCAATCCACAATCCTCGTGCTCAAAACATCCACTTTCCTGAATTTTTTCATCGGTAATCAACCAAGTGTGTCATTCAAAAATTTAGAACTTTTATTAATAATAGAGAGATTGAAAGCCAAGTTTAAGTGGAGAGAAAAAGAGAAAAAAAGAAGTTTTCTTAACAAAACAAGTTAAAAATTTAAATACCTGGCAGGTGTATTAATACTTACCAAGACCTGATCCCATATCTAGAGTGTAAGTATAATTCCCTTCTCGACAATAAGTTTGACAGCAGTTCAGGAGTGTGTCCTCGATTTGGCAGCTACCGATCGTCATTACATCATGCTCTTCACAAGACCAGGAGTATTCTAACGCCTGTAGATGCAGCGGGAGAAGCACAAACAATTATATAGCTGATTTTGAAAAAAAAAAATCATTTGCTATTGCGAGATGGTACTTGCTAAAATGAGGTACTTTGTTTACATTGAAATGAAAGGTGAGAAGTAATTTTGTACTTGGTTTTGGTTGGGGGGAGGGGGGTGAGAATGAAATTGATTCAGGAGTGTTGGGATATATTTTACCTGACTGTCTGAACGAGTTCCTTTACTTTGTACGCACTTTGAAAGCTAGATTAAAAAGAGAAGAGTCATTTTTTCAGTGAAGTTACGAATTAAAACATCATATTGGTAACTGTTCGTTAACAAGTACACAGCTAACCGCCTCCTGGTTAGCTCAATTTGTGGAGGGCTGGACTGTTGTGCGGGAGGTCGAGGGTTCAAGCTCCGGCCGGACCAACACTCAGGGTCGTAAAATAATTGAGGAGAATGTGCTACCTTTCTACAATATCAAGAAATGGATAGATATTCTAGTCTTCACCGGATAAGGACGAATAAACCGTAGGTCCCGTCTCTTGCAGGGTTAGGGGTAGGAGACGTTAATTTCCCACGCACGAGATTACTGTGTGGTGGATATCCTTCCCTGGGATGGGATGGGTGAGTATAAGACTGGCCCTGAAAAGCCCATGTGGGAGTGGTCAACCAGTATAATAAATCTCTTATTAACCAAGCTTGCTCGGGACCGTACTGGAAGAATATCGGCCCTCGATCTTTTTTGTACGGACCGAGCGCAGCGAGGTCCGTACTGTCAAGACCTCGGGCCGATATTCTCCCAGTACGGCCCTCGCGCTTGGTTAATAAGATATATGTACTTACCAGATACTGACGGCATTGATCTGAATAATCACGAGAATTATCATGAGGCAGAGATGAATCATCTGTATCTAAGTAAAATGAATTATCGGCAATGGGGTATTTAGAGTTTGGTTTTGGATCAACCTATTTCATAATCCCTGAATGAAATTTTTCTTTATTCTCATCCTTTGTCTGCTTTATATTGTACTAACAGAGTAAGGAGAAGTTCTGTCTTATGGGAGTTAAATGATTAAATCCTAGAACTGAGCAATATGTAACACCAGAATTATCATGAGATTAACATGAAAAGTGAATCATTAAAGTTTAAAAAAGTTTTGTGAGTCCAATAATCGACAAAGAACGCCATAAGGTGGTTCGTATGAGAAATTTATGATATGCTTCCTCAGCGGTGGATCTAGGAGCAGATTTCGGGGTATTCCTCATCACCTGGCTGACACCAAAATCTTTCTAACAAATGGTCTTATCGTACTACTCGAAATGAAACATTTAAAGTATGTTGTATTGATCTGTTTCCTAGACTATCTGTACCATATAATGTAAAATGAAACTCCATAGTTTTGTGGCAAAAGTTTAGATCCCCCCCTTCCCTTTAGCAAAAATCTGTAGCTCCGCCCTTGCACCTGAAAGCATTTTTGTTGTACTTATTTTATTTCAGAGAGAAACGACCTGAATATTGTTTATAAAACAATAAATCTTACCATTATAGGAAAATAAATAAGGAAGTTTCCTGCTGCAGTTTAACGACTTCAGCTGCATCATAGATTTACTAATGGCATAACAGCGGTCAAACAGCTGTGTTCTGTCCAGGAGCTCGAGGGGTACCTGGGCTGAGTTGTTAGGTGGAAGCCCCCATTGGAACGAACCTTGGCTATCGAGTCTCAGAGCAGTCCAGAAAAAATTTGAATACGGCTGGGAATTCTTTATGAGGTCTGCTTGTGCCTCGCAGAGTTGCTCTATACTCCCAATACTTGCCAAGGGAGCGTCATTTTCTAATAGAGAGTCGTTGAGGGCCGAAATCCACGTAAAATTATATTCAATTTGCTCGTAGCTCACATAAGCGGAGCGAGTTTCTGAAAAGCAGTAGAATTTACCCCATAAGCGCGGCCTTTCCAATAGTAATATTGATGATCTGTGCAAAATAAAGGTGTTATACGTGGAGAAAACTGCAGCCGATTAGGGGGATTTCACCATTTTGTGACCATGCTAGATTTGTAGATTGATACGACACGACAGATTGTAGCAAAATCGCTGACTACATTTGTAACTCTGTCGTTGAAGAACTGCGAAATCAGTTCAATCCACATGACAATCATTAGAATGGCAGATCGTCAGTTCGCAGAGATCTATAAGTTCTGCCCATCCTCAAACTACCTAAAAGCAACAGTTCTTTCCTTTGAATTTGGGCGGAAGAAACTAGCATGTTTTAAAAAATTAACTCCAACTTTTGACCACAGACAGTCAATTTAAAGTTCCTTTTTGAATAATCAACGAGAAACATCGATTTAATGTTCCAGTGTTTGTGTTTATTACCGTTAAAAACAGAAAATTCGAGAAAAAATGCAATAGATTTGGATTAAGGATTATAAATTGGAGCGGGTTCTTAACTAATGGGGTTTAACTGGAGTTCAAATAGTATGCAATAAGGTAACGAAAGGTAAGTGAATCAGAGCGGCGAAATACATCTTGAGGATGGTGTTGATGCAGAAAGGTAACTGAATCAGAGCGGCGAAATACAGCTTGAGGATGATGTTGATGCCGTAAAACTTCTGGGGCTTCGAGGAGAGCTTTGGTTGTACCATCACTGCCGGCGATAATGATTTTAGATTTGAACAGATCAAGTTTGAAGGCACTTGATATTTCCTGAATGACAAATACTAGGTTTAAAGGACCAACCGTATCAAAACAAATAGTTCACTAGGGGGTTATATGTTACAATCAAAATCATTAACCAGTGACAGAGACTTACTCTTGATAGCAGGAAAAGCGAAAAAAAATTAGGGAAAATGGATCTAGCGAAATTATTCACGAAAAAAGAAAATTTCGTTTTGCTGTATTTACACGTAGTCTAAAATTTCGCGTTCGTTTCACGAAAAGTATGTTTCTTAATTAATTGCACTTCAGTGTTGAATCTTTAATAACCCTAGACACTCTTCGTCTTTAATTTAACGAGAAAAGCATGGAACAATATTATTAGAATTTTTCTCTTACCCTCAACGAAGTGAACTAGCAAGGCCAGTAACATTTGGAAACGCAACCGACTTGAACCCTTTCCTGTTTGATCCATCTTCTATCCGTCGGTTGAACTAAAGAGGAAACTGGTTTTATTTAAACGTATCCATAAATTAAACCCCATCCTGTCAAAAATCCATTAGCGTAACTGAGCCATTACACGTCGCGCAAAGTCTCAACTTCGATCGATCCTACTGACATCTACGGATCGATTTTCAGACAGTTTCATATCTCTAACAGATTTGGAGATGTCATGCATAACTTGTGATAATTGTTCTCAGGAGTGAAACATTTTTAAACTTCATCTTAAAAATGAGTACTATATATATTCACAGCTTTAATAATGTCCTCACTCATGCTACTTTCCGGGTGGCAAATTACAGGTTCTAACATTCATTTTGAAATAAATGCATTGGCATACGTTTATATAGAATACAATTACCTCATCTAAAAGTGCTATAATAATGAGTATATTTGTAATCACAGTCATAACTACAGTCGCATGTTAAACAGTTGGCGATTTGATTAACTGAATTTTTCAAAGAAAAGCGACGGTGAACCGGCCTAAATTTTGAACGGTGACGAAACTCGAAATGTCTCCTTGAAATCTACCTGAGTTTCGAATTAAATATTCTTGACTGTATAATATATTTATACGTGGGGCATACTTTTTCAAAGAGCTTTATGAATGTGACTCACGGAAATCCGGCATGTTGGTAACTTTAGGACTATCTGACGGTGATAAAAATAAAGTAAGAAAAAAAACAAATAAAAAACTATAAGCTTTCCTGAATCGTCAGCCTTTCCCCTCGAAGGTCCTTAAATGAATTGTCTTAGAGCATGTTATCACATAGATCAAAAGCTATCTACGAAAAACTGCCTTACAGCTATTTACAAAAGCTGAACCAGACGAAAATTTAATTGCCTTATGTTGTGAATCCACAGCTCACCTGCTCGCGTTTCCATTTAGAGCTGTTGCATAACTTTATCAGCTCTTTTATGCCAGTAACCTGTGCATCAATGGGTCTACACTGGCTATTTTTTTGCATTATTATGCTAATCAATATATCCTAAGGCTAGTATAGTTTGACTTGTTCGTGATATTTCGCCGAGCAAGTACAAGGAAAAGGTACTCCTAAGATATCTGTTTGCATGTCGTGCTTTAAAACACATGCTTATTAACAAGCTCCAATGCAGTGTTTAGGTCTAAAGCTTCTAAACGGTTTGGCTTTTGAAAAAAAAAGATAATTATGGAAATATTAGATGATAAGGAATAAGAACAACGACAATGTTTGTGAACGCATCCTTGAACCAAGAGAATATTTGGCTCGTAATCACCTTCATATTCGTATTCCGACGTTTCACTTATGAAAATTCTGCGTCATTTCGCAGTCTGGTGTCAATATAATTCTTACTCTATTGTGTGAACTGAAAATACAGCCATTAACGTGCTGGTTTCTCGTTAATATTGTGAGTTCATGTTCAGAGGAACAGAATCCGGTTTATCTTGAATATTTCAATACGGTACTATTACGATTCTTTATTTAAACACTCAATTTCCTCGAGCAATAACTCGTTTAAAATGCGAGGACGTGTAAGCAACACAGATTAATCAAATGAATTACAAAAATGACTTAAAACGAAATATAAGAAACCATTAATCATAAGGAAAAATGAAATGAAATAATGATTCTAAAGAATAGCTTTCATAAGCTTTCAAAACATCACACAAAAAACTCGAAATTTTTAGGGAAACCACAAACATATCCGTCTTTTTGATGATGAAAAAGAGTTTTAATCTTTCAGTGGATTCAGTAAAAATTCTACCGAACGACAACACATCTTGAAGGAATGGAAACCCACGCCCCAGTAGACTTTTAACCCACATGCAAGTTAAAAACGTGCTGTTTTAATGGATCGGTGATATCATGATCACTGATATTTTGTAGCATTTCCTGTGGGAGGCAAGCTATATAATGATAAAGATAGTTTGATAATGACCTCCAAGCACTTGTTGACGTAGTTCAATGACTCAGCTTTCCGACGCTTAATAATAAGGCACAGAATATCATATCTTGCAAACTCTGACAACCAGGACAAACTGATATGAAGTTATGTCTTGGCAGCTTTTAGGTATCACGTAGGTAAATTTTCACTTCGAAAAAAACATACTTTCACGAGACTGGAGAAGGTTGGTTTTTTTTTACATAATGATCAAGGTCTAATCTAATTTTAAAGGTAAATGTTTATTACCGGATTGGTAATCAGAAGAACTGAAGGCGTAAAACCTATTTCACTGTGGATATTTGATAGCGATGAGGAAAAAAAAAAACTAGATCAAGCTGCCGACCACTAAGGAAATGGGTTTTAAGTAACAAAGATGTATTTTACGATAAAAACAGTGCACCACGGTATCAAATTAAAATCGATAATTTCAAGGAAGAGTCTGATTAGTTTCCTAAGAGCAAACTCTTTTGACCTTCGATGGAAGCGCAATATAAACTTTCTTGTAATTTTCCCTTTGATAAAGTGTTTCGTCGTCAAAGAACCGACAGAGGTTAAAAAAATTGTCGAAGGACTGATAAGCCTGACTTATGCCATACACGTACGCTAAGTTCTCAGGGGTATGTGCTTCCTTCGCTGAAGTCAAATTACTTATCGTCATGCACGCAGCAGATCATCTGTGTATTGAAAAAATATTTAATAGAAATAACCATTCTTTAATTCTACTTATCAACACATTCAACGCACACATGATCGCTAGAGAAAACCGATAAGCGGAACAAGTAAGATCATTCACGTCAATTCCATATTTACATTTTTAAAATTGTCTTTACCTTCTTTTCAGAATGACCTACTTTAAAATGAACCACGGCGTGATTTCTTGGAATAACCACGCTATTCACGGCCGCTGGCTTTGTTCATTGCGTTAAGTCACTTTGAATTACCAAATGTTTAAAAGCTGATCACGCCACGCAATTAAAAGTTTAAGGAATGTTTACAAGCCATATTTCTTGATTGGCGTGATTCGGGATTTGTTGGCAATCAGCCATTACGATTGAGGTTTCGCGGAGAGTTCGACTTGAACGATATTGTTTCAGAGAAACATTCAACCCTAGGATTTATTAAAAAGGAAATGCTCCACACACTATGAATACGTTTTCAAGTGAAATGGTCATGAGAAGTAAGGTAAACACCAGTTGAGGGTTTTTGTTTGATCAAAAAATTATCAGTCGAGAGCTGAAATCACAAGAAATTATTGCAGACATTACAGGGAAATTTTATATAGATGCTGCGTGTACAAGGGTTAAGGAAACCATTATATTCAATCTCTTATATTTAATTCGTCGTGATAATAGTATTAAAAATAAGAAGCTTGAGGTAAAATCAGTAAGGAACGAGGATGGTTAAGCAGACTGGCATGGACCGGTAGCTTAGAAATGTTTGAGTGAAGTTGGGTAAGATTTACAAACTTTGGTTTATTCATTTTGTTTGGAGATTCATAAAAATTTCCGAGATTAGATTGTTGATTATTGCAATTTATGCAATAACTGACAACTTATAAAACTGTGGTTAATGTTGTACTGATACTTTTCTGTGTCTCTGGACGAATCTTGTTCACGAGCGTAAAAAGTCGTTTTTCTTTCGCAGCACTCGATGTTGTATTTTCATTTGCCGCCATGGATACACTTCTTGATGTTTCCCATCTTTGCCTTTTTGTTTCTAAGGCGGCTCTGATCTCTTTACTTCGCACAACATGAAACAGGAAGATGAACAAGCCCTGCCAATGGTAGATAAAAAGAAATTTCTGAGGCCAGAAACGCATGCACCTGTTTGTTGCTTAACCTTAAGGATCGTTGAACCCTGGTAAGGTTATTGTACCTTGCTCATCAGTGTCTTCACCCGTCTCTCTGAACTTTAGACTGAAATGGATAATTTTGGGGTTACTTGCGATGGACTAGGCTCTAGTCGCTTTAGGCTGAGGAAAACATGATATCAAATACAGTGGCGTGGGGCACTTACCTCCTAAAGTGTAAATTAAGTTGAAAGTGAATATTTTCATTCATCCAGGTTCAATTCAAATGAGAAATTTTTAAATCTTTTTCTGGAATTTTGGTCCTAATTATTAACAGACATTTCGACTGAAACTATCAGTCTTCGGCAGTATAGTTTGACAACAGTTGGTCAGGGTTAAAGACACACAGCCGCTTGAGAAAAGCTCCAATCTGGTGTATGTTATTACCCGTGGTGGGGAGGGCTGCACCGAAACCCATGTGGGAGAGACTCTTCAGTCCATCAGAGCCAGGCTGAAACAACGTCAATGGCCGAACTCCAATCCTGTTCAAAATTCAGCAGTTTATTGTAAACTGAAGGACACGGGACACGTGTTGGATCTGAAGGGAGTCAAGATCCTAGATAAAGAACGAGATTGGCGAAGGAGGGAGATAAAAGAAGCGATATGGGAAAGGGTGGAGGACCGAACCCGGGACAGAATGGGGGGGGGGGGGGTCTCCGGTTCTCTCTGTCTCCCACTTGTGATCGGGCCCTCGTCTCCGTTCCCCGACCTTTGTCGCGTGATAGTGATCTACCACGTGACAAACTACACTTATGAAGACTGATGGTTTCAGTCGAAACGTCTGTTAATAATTAAGACGAAAATTCCAGAAAAAGAGTTAAAAATTCCTCATGTATATTTAGTTATGATGCACTGTTACTCCTACCAAAAAGACGTCATTTCTTAACACTAAAATAAAAATGGTTACCTCCTAATCCTTCAGGAAACCTCTAAAAAAGGTGATATCGAAGATACCCGTGACTGACACATCTCAGCCATAATCTTGCCTATCGATAAATTGACTGAAGCATTTACAATTTATAAGTCTTGATAACAGTGCATTGTACATGCTCAGCATTAAACTCACTTGTAAAGAGTTAAAAATAGTAAACAAATATTGGAAGACCAGCCCAGCGTCTGTGACGGTCAGAATCCCAAAAATCCAAGTGAGGCCAAGTAATGGGAAAAGAACTACACAGGCCATTAGACTTTTCCTGAAAGCAACACAAAGATCAAGCTGTATCGATAAAAATGTAACAACAACAGAAACAAATAACTGACACCAATAATCTGGCAATTATATTATAAGTTGAATGATACACGCATTTTCATTGGTTCTTTCTTATGATCTATTAAACGAAAAACAACACTTTCAACGCATTCGGAGGTAGCGTGGCTGCGTGGTGAGTGTGTCGGACTCGCAATCTACCGCTCCCGGGTTCGAGTCTCGCCCCGACCACCACCTGAATTTGTTTCACGGGTAGCTCCGAGTTCAAATTCTCGGCCACGTTTGTAAATAGCCAACTCGTTGCCTCCGGCCAGTTGGATTCTCAACAATGTTATGTTCAATTTGAATTATTTGTTTCAGATGTTTTTCAGAGGGCCACTAGGGAGAATAGTATTCAAAATAATTGGTGTCACCCTATTAAAATTAAGGTTATTTCTAATAATTTTTTTATTTTTTTTGTCAAATAAAACAAGAAGCTAAAATGTGGTCGTGGGTCTATCAATTAACAGATTGTCACAAAAATGTGGTATAACCAACTGTGACACACTCGGCTGCGCGCATGCGCTCCGTGTGCCACTTATTTATTCTTACCACATTTTGACGTCATCTGTGAGCTATTGATGGACAGACGCACGGCAACATGAAACATATTTCTCAAGTCGAGAAGCCCAGCACCGAAAGGTAACAAAGTAAATTTCAAAAGAAATAAGCCACATCTTGTAAAACAAATAGCTTATAAAACGATTTGATTGTTTACTGATGTCAACTTAAAGAGACCACTGAAAACTTATAATAAAAGAAACAAAGCGCAAATGTAAATATATGCTTCAGCCAACACACACATACACACTAAAACTTGAGTGTACGGTGCGGATTCCACGCAAAACTCTGCTACCCCATCTAAAGCGAGTTGTACCTGCATGAATGAGTCTCTGCGGCCCCAGATACATCTTTCAGCCTCGTTATCTCCACTATGATACGTATGAGGAGGACTAAGTTTACCTTGAAAACAAGTGCATTTCAAAGAAAGATAATGTAAATTTCCTATTTACTACTACTGATTCGCTCATCCATTTATTACTAGTTTCGAGTGTAAACCCTTCCTCAGAGTTCTGATGAGGGGCTGACGTTTCAAACGTCAGTTTTCGGTGGCCAATCCACTTTATAACTAAGTTGATGAAATCGAATTTTCTGCAATATCCCCCACTGACGCAGCACCAGAGTTTCTCTAAAAACTTACCCCTTTTATTCTATTGTAGAAAATAACATGTTATGGAAGCTACCAAACACCGGATTCCACTTCTGACTGCAGGTTTTTTAACCTGTTAGTAAAACCCTAGTTTGTTACTATTCAAAGGCCCATCACAGCGTTCATCAATTAAATGTGACGATCAGATCAGATTTAACCCTATACTTTTTACAAAGGATAACTGATGAATTTTTTACTCACCAAACATGCAAAAAGTACGGATCCAACAAAAGCCCAATTAAAACCAGAAGAGAACGAAAACCAACAGCTGCAAAAATAAATGAGGACTCGATTGAATCTAAAATCACTTCGATCTTTCACCTTCCCAAAAAAAGTTATGAGAAGCTCCTTCTATCTCAGTTGACGAACGATTGACATTTATGCACAATATCATGCGAGTGCGTGAGAATCGGTGACCTGTTCTCTAGTGTGTGAAATCCCAATCAGACGCTCCAGATTCGAACTCTGGTCGAGTTATTTTGTTGTGACCTTAGGCATGATACAGGGCCTCTCTCCCTCCAGGGCCCAGTTTTTCGAAAGCCGATTAGCGCTGACCAAATGTTCAATTCTAATCCAGGTTTCTATATTTCTCTGTTCAAAAGGCCGTTTTGGGTTAGTTTTACCGTACAAATGGAATTAAACAGAATTTACTCTCAAAGCTTTCAGAGCTGAAGTCAGATTCCTCACTTACCCAGGGTTACCTTAACCCACCTTTGCCGTGTTAACCCGACCCAGGGGTATCAGTGGTATTCACACGCCTAATCCCTTCATGCTATTCAGCGAAACTAACTTCTAAGCACTGGCACTATCAAGAGTCATGAAACAGGCACAATAAGTTAACCTTATAATTTGGATATATCAACAAAGTTGAAGTGGTAAATTGGCCATCGTGACGATTACAAAAGCTGACGTTTCGAGCGTTAGCCCTTCGTCGGAGCGAATAGAGGAATTGTGGGTTGTGTGTGCTTTTAAAGGCAGAAAATGGAGCTACGTTATTGGTGGGAACATAGCAACGAGAAAAACACGAATAAATTAGTGGAATGAAAAGCGTTCGTTGATCCCTGTCGGATTTAGACTGCCGGTTTGAAAGATGACCTTAACCTTACCCACGCTTGTGATAGTAAGTATTGCAAAAGAATACTTGAACACAGAAACAGCTACACCAAAGACGACATCAACAGGTTGACCAGGCTGAAAAGTGACCGTTTTGTACTACTCACACGTCATCACGCATACTGTTGTCAATGCTCCCTTCGATGATGACAGTTATACCAAATGTACTCGCTACCACCATCGTTGAAATGCCTTAGTAAAAAATAGAATAAAAAAAAAAGCGATACAGCCTGGTGTTTGTTTTAGGCTAAATCCTACTGGTATCTAAATTGAGGTAACGTCTGAACAGAAGTGTCCCAGAAGAGAGGTTTGAATGCAATAAGACGAGGAGCGAATCAGGTTGATTTGATTTAATTTGTAATTTGGTCATCTTTAGTGGTTTAACTGATTTTAGAGGATAAGAAACCATCCAATCTAATTCTCCAAAAGAGATAATTATAACGATGTCTCATCAGTAATAAAATGAGATTCTTTATACCCTAAGTGAGGGCATAAAAGGTCATTGTACTTGTGGTAACATTACTGTTTAAGACTGATTTCAGAGGACAACAAATCATCCAATTTTATTCTTTGAAAGAGTTCATTAGAATGAAGTCTAGTCTGTTACAGAATGAGATCCTTTTTACCCCAAGCGAGGGCATAGAAGAACTTTGTACTTGTGTCCACATTGAAGACCTTAACAACTTTTAAATAGAGCATCACTCCTTCAAGAACCATCCATGCAAAAGCAACCAGATAGAAGTAATTTATTGTTATAGCGACAATGGCACACAACGTCTAGAGGAAAAAGGAAGAATATCAGAGTCAGTGTAGAGCATATCACATCAAAAACAAAAAAAAAAAAACACGAAGAACCACCTATAACCGGGTGTGACCAAGCCGCTAGATTCCGTTTTGCATATGATTATAATAACGCCTTTAATAAAGCCCTGAGAATGGCAAGACTCTTTTTGCAGTAAATGGTTTGAACCCGGGGGTAACATGGGAAGGTGTAGGGTGTAGTCTGATCGTGCGGGTGAGTGTAGTCCTGAGAAGGACTGTTGTCGGTGGTAGTGACTGACGTTTCGACAACCTGTGCGGAAGTCATCATCAGAGTCAAGTGAATGATTGTTGTCAGTAGAATGTTCTTATTCCAGTTCGTGTGAAATGATCGGTTGGTTTTGCCGTGATGTTATTGGCTGTAAGACTCAAGTGACGTAAGTCGGTCGTGATTGGTCTGTTTCGATCTGTCGGTAAAGTTAGGTCGTTCTTTTTCGGTCGTTTGTGATGTTTATGTCGTGAATGAGTCGTTTGTATGGAGCGGGTAGTTGTTGACATCTGTTTAGGGGAGTCTGTTCTAAGTTAGTAAACCAGCTTTCCAGAGTCAGTCGTTGAAAATAGTCAGTGCTGTAGGTTAGGCATTGCGCAGAGTCCCAGTCAATGTTGTGGTTGGTAAGTCGATGGTGTTCAGCAATGTGATTGCTGACATCACCTTTCCTCGTCGCCCGTCTGTGTTCAGTCAGTCTTGTTGTGAGGTTTCTGCCAGTCTCACCGATGTAGGAGGCTTGGCAGTCGGAACAATTGATCTTATAAATCGTTCCCTGTCTGTTCCTCGGTTCGTCTTTGTCTTTAACGTTGGTTAGTAACTGACGTAGTGTGGTGATGGGTTTGTGGGCGACGCGGATATTGAAGGGTTACTAACCAACGTTGAAGACAAAGACGAACCGAGGAACAGACAGGGAACGATTTATAAGATCAATTGTTCCGACTGCCAAGCCTCCTACATCGGTGAGACTGGCAGAAACCTCACAACAAGACTGACTGAACACAGACGGGCGACGAGGAAAGGTGATGTCAGCAATCACATTGCTGAACACCATCGACTTACCAACCACAACATTGACTGGGACTCTGCGCAATGCCTAACCTACAGCACTGACTATTTTCAACGACTGACTCTGGAAAGCTGGTTTACTAACTTAGAACAGACTCCCCTAAACAGATGTCAACAACTACCCGCTCCATACAAACGACTCATTCACGACATAAACATCACAAACGACCGAAAAAGAACGACCTAACTTTACCGACACGACTCGACAGACAGCTTATCCGACGAGAACAAATACCTTCACCGTGTTTTTACGAAGAACAACTACAACAACGACTTCATCCGACGAAACACTCACCGACCCACTACCACTACCGAAACAAACGACACCGCAACCCCTACGACTACAGCAACCATACCGTACATAAAAGGCATGTCTGAAAACATCTCGCGCATCTTACTACCCTTCAATATCCGCGTCGCCCACAAACCCATCACCACACTACGTCAGTTACTAACCAACGTTAAAGACAAAGACGAACCGAGGAACAGACAGGGAACGATTTATAAGATCAATTGTTCCGACTGCCAAGCCTCCTACATCGGTGAGACTGGCAGAAACCTCACAACAAGACTGACTGAACACAGACGGGCGACGAGGAAAGGTGATGTCAGCAATCACATTGCTGAACACCATCGACTTACCAACCACAACATTGACTGGGACTCTGCGCAATGCCTAACCTACAGCACTGACTATTTTCAACGACTGACTCTGGAAAGCTGGTTTACTAACTTAGAACAGACTCCCCTAAACAGATGTCAACAACTACCCGCTCCATACAAACGACTCATTCACGACATAAACATCACAAACGACCGAAAAAGAACGACCTAACTTTACCGACAGATCGAAACAGACCAATCACGACCGACTTACGTCACTTGAGTCTTACAGCCAATAACATCACGGCAAAACCAACCGATCATTTCACACGAACTGGAATAAGAACATTCTACTGACAACAATCATTCACTTGATTCTGATGATGACTTCCGCACAGGTTGTCGAAACGTCAGTCACCACCACCGACAACAGTCCTTCTCAGGACTACACTCACCCGGACGATCAGACTACACCTTCACAAGACTCTTTTTGTTGACTATCATTTTGTTTTCTGTTTTGTTTCTGTCAATATCATCCTTGATTGAAGATACTTGCCAGAGAAATTCTTTCTTTACCTACCTTTGTTTGAGTGGCTTTGATACCAGTCATAAAAACTAACTGGGCGATAACCAGGCATGTCCCCAAATTCAACCGGATATGGGACTGAGACGACTCCAGGTTCCTTGGAAATAAGCATAATCACTGTATGTCAACATTATTGGATTTTGCATTATACAACAACGAGAAAAAAAAAAATAAATAAAAGAAGAAAAAAAAAAACTAAATAGCAGAATTCGAAACAGTGTTGATAAGTCAACTAGCTTTAAAAGTAGAGAAGTAGAAAGTTGAAAAACATCATAACGCACATATGTACTGGAAGCTATTTACACTTACAGTAAAATCAAGTAGGCCAATATGGTGATTATCTCGCCGACCAAAGACAGAGAAAGTCCAATGTAGGTTACCAACGTGAGTGAAAATTTGTGATCGTCCGAAATCTTAATAAACGAAAGAAATGATAAGCTCCTAGACTTTGTTGAGTCAAAGGTAGGCATGCTTTACAGGAGTCCAAAACTTCTTAACCATTTAACTCCTACGTGATTAACACTAAAAAATTCTCTCTATAATAGCCATTAATTATCCAGCAAAAATTCGATGAGAATACTCAAACTTATCAGGCAGACGTTGTTATTTTGACCTCACATTGAATTCTTCAAACCAACTTACAATAAAATGTGCAGCGGCTTGTGGCGTGACACGCGTGACTGTAGTCATGCGATCGAGAAAGTCATATCATCCGTCGTGCCATGCGGCACTGGCCACTCCTGTGACTCGAAAAACCCGAACTCGTCATTAAAAGTCTTGTTGCAGTTTTAACCCATAGTTCTGTGGTTTTATCGTCGTCACAACTCAACACGGCTAAAGGAGAGTTTTCGATTAGATCTTGGGAATTAAAGGATTAAATATGAACCAAGCGAACGCACTTTGCGATTTTGTTTGACTAATTATTGTTGTTGTCCTTGTCATTGCTATGTTCGATAATACAAAATATACCCTCCGCGTTCCTTTAAGAAGTCCAGTTAACCATAAGCTGAAAAAAAGTTGACAAAAGAAAATCGAAAAGCCAAACCTTTGTCTCACCCACTTCCAGTTAGACAGCAAAATTTGTCAGATGATTACAGCTGCATGTGGTGCGCTCTTTGGTTTCCTGGACCAATTTAGAACCCTTTTGGGACCACGCACCGTCAAACTTTGTGCTAAAGAATAATGATGATATCAATGATATCAATGATTGGCAGTAATAGTATTGACAATAATTATAGTAACAAATGGATCCCATGTTGCCATGCGTGTGTTTAATAATACATCACAGATGACGTCAAAATGTGGCAAGGCCAATCGTCGTTAGTGATGATGGTGATGATAATGATGATAATGATGATAATGATGAAATTTTTGACTGGTTGATTTTTTGTTTCTACTGCGTTGGCTGGTTGTTGGTTGACAGATCTATCTATCTATCGATCTATCTATGTATCTATCTAGCTTTAATCGATTTAAATTCCTTTTTTCTGAAGAAGCCTTTTCTTGTTGGCGTTGCAATTGCCATTACTAAATCTTTTTTCTCTACAACGCGCCTTGGTAGAGTAGCAAACGGTGAGTAAAGCTCGTCATCTAAAGTAAGCATTCTTACCTAATCGAAAAATTCCAAAATACACAGCTTGTCTGTGTGGCTGTTAAGTTATCCTGAGAAAAAATTCGCATATAAAACACTTTGTCTTATCTATTGGTATACTGACATCAAATATTAAACAATGCTGCAAGATAACTCACTTTATTGCAAGAAAATTCTTCCAACTTTTACCTTTGTGTTAGTAAGCTTAATTACGACGTCTTCTTCAAAGCTGCCTTGAACCTCTGGTTTTACTGTACACGATATGATCCGAGTACGTATGGTGGACTCCTTGCTAAGTGAATGAAAAAGAAGTTTCTCCCATTGACAAATACGTTTGATCCATTTATAAGAAACTGCATATCTTATCAGTCACGTTTTGGAACAGAAAACAGAAAAATGCAATAGACGTGCTGATACACTCGTACAAACCTGTTATCGACGTTATTTGCTCCCTCAGGCATTAAATCAGCGACGTTTTTGTACAAAATACAGACCACGTATCGCTCTAAAAGAGAAATACAATTGTCATAGTCTAAGTTAAAATATTTATGGATGCAATGCTTAAGACAAAAAATACACACCGTAAAGTGTGAGTGAAGCCGTCATCACAGAGTTTGGTTGAGATATATAATCTAGAGCTAGGTTAGGGTGCGTGTGCTTATTAAGGGAATAACTTAGAGGAACCGGAAGTTGCCGTAATGTAATTGTACACTGTATCAAAAACAATGTTTCAAACATGTTAGGCTCAGTGAAAAATAAAAAGATATAGGCAGCCAATCGCAAAATAAATCAGGATATGCTTTATTTTTGTACATTTACAGTACTGTAACGAATATGTAAATCCAGGATAATTTCATAATACCTTGATCAAACATGCTAGAAGAAAGTGTAATAGCTCCCTCTTCTTCTCGAATAAAGCTCTCGTTAAAAGTATTTGCTTGGGACGGGAAAATGACACCACTCTTGTGATCAGTAGGAACTCTCATCAATGACATACCTTTATTAAGTACAGCAAACAAAGAAACAGATGGACAACAAAGGTGAGAGAAATCAAACCATTTTAGGGCCTCGGTTGTGATCTTGCCAGAAAGGTGATGGTAGCCCGTCAACTATGCCCGGTAAACAAACGAACATGAAACCAAGACCATTGTTGTCCGAAATGATTGAGCTAAAGCCTACTTCCTCTTGTAAATAATAATATAAAAAACAAACAAGTAAAAAAAAGAAACAAACAGAAATATTAATTATAATGAGCAAAATAGCAAAGGAAAGAGTGATACCTAATTCTTTCCGTTCAATTGAAATTTCTGCCTCAGAACCATTCCGCGACGTCAAATGAAGGCTAGCATAATTCAGTGCCAAGGATTCCAGTTTCTCAAAGCTAACAAGAATATTGACTTTGTTGTCTGAAGTGCTTGCCTTTCTAACAAGCTTAGAAGTGAGATTTATAGCATTCTGAAAGAAATAAGACAGGAAAAGTAGAAGTTGACCGTAAAAAGGTCATTTATAAGTTATTTGCTTATTTCTGATTAATTTTTATGAGTAAAATATCTAAATATTAAATCTACAAACTCGGACAAAACCTGTTGAGACACATTACAAAAATACCTATTTTTTGCACTCACCCTGACAAACATGCTTACCGTCGCAAATTCAGAGATTTTTCCCCTTTCCGATTGCAATGTTGTTTGCGGTAACACAAGAAATGCATGCTTGAGCTGTTAAGCCCCAACAACATTGTACAAGGGGTTGGGAGGGGGCCAAGTTTGTTCCTTTTGGAAACGATTGTTGCATGGCGGGAAATTAAAAATTGCACTGAAATGTCTCAACAGTTTTGTCCGGTGTTGTAGTGCCATGTTTCTCCATATTCCGATGAAGTAGCCGGTAGAATTCATGGTAGTAATGGTCTTGATAAAGTGATCGGGAGCCAACAGCTTTGCCTTTCATATGCCAGGAATTGCCTTTTCTGAAACGCAAACTATCACAGTAACGGGCCAACACACGAGAAATAAATGAAATTTTGAAATTATTTAGCTCCCATATTTACAATTGTATGATCCAGAAACAGCTGTAGTTTGTACGCTTAATAGAGCAAATATGTACGATTATACTTTCCATTTTTGAGCCTGTTTTGTAGTCGGAAATTACCTCTAAAGACGAGGGCTCACTAGCGTTGATCTTTTTCATTTCACTAGTGTATTCCTCGACCTGCAATTTTTACAAATGTAATAATACTTTACTAGCTATAAAAAAAGGCTTGGCGTAATCACTGTGGTGGCAAAAGAAGGTATGAGGGGCATTTTTAAGTCATTTTCCTGTCGCATGTAAACCAAAAGCAATGGGGATGCCTCGAGTTTTCTTCGTAACAAGGTAGTTGGAATTACATTGAGGTTTGTCATTATGCCGTCCTCGATATAATGTTGATACTTTCGCATTTCGTCACCCATCGATACTAGCGACACTAACGTTGATAGTAAATGGGTAGACGAGTCAAAAAATAAAAGACATCAGCTTTAGTTTTACCAAACTTAGCGTGTGAGAAGCAGCAATAGTGGTGATCGTAGGGTGGGTCTTTTGAGGAGCGTAAGACGAACTCGATGACGGCAGATTCGTTGATGAGACAGATGAATACAAACTTTGTAGTGATGCTGTTGGCGAAACCATGAGTGATGATACAGGTGATGACCGAGACGAGGATGTCAGATATGAATAAGATCTAATTCCTGTCTTTGTACTTGTTGTTGTTGTCGTTATCGTCGTCGCTGGAACTACTGTGGTTGCTGCTATTGTTGCCTCTGCCACCGTCGATGGTAATAAGACAGACGACGTTGACGTTGATGCTGCCTGTATATTGTTTGATGAGCCTAAGGGATAAACAGTAGAAAACTCAGTACCGTGATGAGTACAGAAAAACTGAACAGCAATGTCAAAATGGCATCAGTGCCAGTAGCCTTTATGTAGATCCTGGATTCTGGGTCAGTAACTTGACAAAATATTTCTTTAATCAAATATAAAACATTTTCGAAATATTAAAAAATTCTTTCTTAACTAAATCTTTACCAACCTATGCCTGATGGCATAATTGCTTGGGCCCGGTTGTTCAAAGTACGGATAACGCTATCCAACGTAGAAATCGCTATCCAGCGGACAATTGTAAGTGTTACCAAACATGCCCACATACTGCGTTATCCACCGGATAGAGATTTATCCAGTCGACAGCGTTATCCCCGGATTGGAACAACCGGGGCCAGAATGTTAGGAAATTGAGAATTAACGGCTACCTGTCCATCTCTAAAGCTGAGAGTTTTTCCATTTTAGGTACAAAGGCACCGGTGTATCGATCATTGATAATTTGCTTTGGTGCTGTTTTTCGATTTGCTATTTGTTTTTTGTTTTTTTGAGGGGGGTGGGTGGGTAAAATTACCAATGGCTCAAAGGAGGTAATAAAATGTAGTTCGGTGGGATAGAAAACTATAAAAACAAGAACAAACAAATAGCGAACAAAAGCAAAAGTAGACAACAAAGCCAAAATAAAATCAAGCAACTGAAAGAAAAACAAAAACAAAAGAAACACAAAAAAATACCGAACATAGCCAATAAGAGAGAAGAGAACTTGTAGTATGAAGGCTATTAATGTTGTCAAATTGCATATTGAAGCGTTTAACCTTAACTCACTTGCTTCAACTGGATCAGCTGTCTCACCAACTTGGCAAATATACTTTTTATGTTCCTCACAATTTTCTGCTACTAGTACATCTTGTGTTGTAAGATACAAGCATCGTTTATCAGCGCTCGATGATTGTTGTTCAGCTCTGTTGACAATCGCTTCAAAAGCTGCAGTTGGATTTACTAAAGTGCCATCGCCCCAAACAAAGTTATCTTCCGTTGTATCGTATTTGATACCAATCCAGTATTCCTCAGGGTGTTGGTGTGGTAAAAATGCAGTTCTTGCATTTTGAAGCTCAGCTAAGCTTTTGATTTTGGCGAGGAAACCACCGCTATTTTTCTGACAATTCTTCACCGCATCAGACCAACGATGAAAACTGCTTTTGCCTGTATAGGAAGCTGTCCCATTTGCTTTCTGTAGTACTGGGGAATTTAATGAAAAGAAAGAATTAATGAAACGAAGAAATACATGAGAATGAAACTGGATAAAATTGCCCTCTTATTATCTTAAAGAATCATTTAAATACTCCGTAGAGTAGGTGCGATGATTTTCAAGCTAAACAGTAACTTGAAAATCATCCTACCTGTTCATCACAATATTTAAAGAGGTTGGCACAATACCAGGTTATGATAACCTCAGTGGTATTGTCCAAACAAAACAGAAACAGTTTTTTATTCTTAACTACAAAAGGTTTCAAAGATTTCTACTCAAGAAATGCAGGGTATCCGGTAATTTTATCAGATTAACATTAGTGTTACGTGAGAGCCGGTGAGATGAGCGCCTTAGATAAGTGCGAATAGTTTGCTTGATAGGGGTGAATTCCACAGTTGCTTCGTTTGCAAAAAATCTGTCGTGCAGTTAATTCGAAAGCTAGTCACCTACATTCCTAATAGGGTTTAACCTCGTCTGAACGGTAAAGAAATCTGTCTCACTCGCATTTGCGTTTCTCAGACTTTTCATGGCGTGATTTCTAGGGTCCATCAGGAGTTTAGACGTAACGGGCTCAGTTAAGGTCAGATGGCAAACTTCTGAAGGAGTTTAAGTTGCTGGTTTTTAAAGAAAAGAATTAACATGTAAAGTTCTTTCACGAAAAGATGAATATCATTAATCCGTTGTGAAGCAGCCAGAAAGTATTTATCCTGTGAACAAACTCTCTAAGGGTATAAAATTAAATCATGCGCCTGCCGCGACACCATGCGCTAATGTAGATTATTAAAAACTAGATCATTGGATAATGCAATTCAAGACTTTTTATTGGCTTAGCCATTATGGTNTATCATCTACGGGTTTATATCGAATTAATTTGATGGCCTGCTCCCAGTTGGCTTGTTAGCTCAATTGGTAGAGCGCTGCACTAGTATCGCAGAGGTCAGTGGTTCGAATCCCGTACAGGCCTGAAATTTTTTTCAGGTCTGATTTCCACTATTGCTCAAATAGTGCTTTACTGCGAAGGATCGTTCTTATATAAAAAATTAGTATATACTAAAACAGTGGATAGCGTTGAAGGCGCGCTCTGATTGGCTAGTCAAACTCCGAATATCCTTTGCTATTTACCTCCGAGCAACTCGAGAAAAAGTGGCGTGCCGGTTTGCATCCGTGACAAGCGAAGAAATCACTCAAATAACAACGAAGCAGTCCCTGAAAACACAGAGAAAGCGACTAAATTTGGATTGGCTGTGTTTAAAGGTAATGGTAACCGGGAGTTTATCGATAAAAACCAATGAAGAAGGTGTTGTTTACAAATGCAAATTAATCTTGCACAACCTCACTTGTTTACTTGAAAATCAAAGTTGAATGGTATTTTTTACAGAATGGTTTCAAATACAGAAAGAGTTTGCAACACCATTTGAAGAAATGTCGCCACCAGGACCCAACGGTACCTGTAGTTTGGTTGAGGGAGTGGCGACCAAGCTGTTGATTTTTTCAAAGATGGAGGCCGATGCCATGTAGATGGTAGGGAGTAGTCTACAGTAGTGGAATTCTCAATTTGGGTTGTCTTAAGATATTACGGAGTTGGGGATGAATGAATGGAGCCAATAATGGGTTCATTTCACAGAATGTTAATTTGGGTTTTCTTTAGACGGAATGTGGAAAACCTTATCAATTTGGATTGTCTCAAGGCTACATATCATGGACTTCGAGATGTTTGAATACAGACTAAAGTAGCCAAAAATAGGATGATTTCACAGAATTTTGAAACCTTTTAAATGTGGGTTTTCTTTAGATGGAATGAATTCGCAGAATGTGGGAAACCTTATCAAATAAGGTTGTCTTAAGATATCACGGAGCAATGGAGACCAAAGAAGCCCAAAATAGGATGATTTCGCGGAATAATTTGGATTTATTAAAAACTAGATCATTGGATAATGCAATTCAAGACTCTTTATTGGCTTAGCCATTATGGTTTATCAGCCAATATACCATAATCTATAAATATGGCGAGCGTACGTGTCAGCTTAAATTTAAAAAGGGATCTAAAAATTTAATAAAATTTAATAACTTAATTTAACGTTTTTAATAAAACAATTATTCCACTCGCTCTTGTTGGATATGAGATGATTATAGCCAACTCGGCGCTACGCACCTCGTTGACTATCTATCATCTCATATCCAGCGCGCGCTCGTGGAATAATTGTTAATTGTTGTTATTGCGCCAGGACATGCAGGAGTGGTGAAATAAAAGTACTAATGAAGCGAGCTGGGATAAGAGTTAATCTTCGTACTTCTGTAAAAGGAATATGGACTTAAAAAAGAAAAATCAAGTCTGAATTGTCCAGATACATTTGCTTCGATTTACTTAATTGTATTCTAAGGGAATAATAACAAGCACGGATTGATAAGAATGTACATACCAGCGAGAAACAGGATAGAAGTCAAAATCAATTGAAAGGGCATAATGTCTTCGTCCTACGTGGATCGGTAAAGATTAATTTCGTGTCAAAACCTCAAGCTACTGAATGAGACCATCAGTTTCTGTTGTCGAGATCTTAATAGAGGAAATGGCATGCCTGCAAAACATATTTAGTTAATTATTTACCTTAACACAAAGATTGCCATCAGTAGAGAGGAGAAAACTGTGAAGCAAATTCATTAGCATTACGTAAGAATGGCGAGTTTTGTTTCAATTCTAATAAGACGAGATCTAATAATGACTTCTTCAGTTCTTCTAACGATAACAATCCTTCTCAGAACAACTCCCACGTAGAATGGTGGGTTCCTGCACCTCGCCTTCGAGACGCAACTGGTTCGAAGCTTAAAAATGTGTACAGAGGACAAGTTTCTAAAGAACCAAGAACCAAAGACCAAGGTCTGACACTCCAAACGGCAGCATTTCCCATTTTACCACGGTCATTTTGGATTATCAACTGAGTTGATAAAACTAAATCATCCTAAAAAATGTGACCAAGTAAGACTTGAAAGAAGTCCTTCCCCAATCCCTACCCCATACCAAGCAGCTTTCAGCATTATCTGTAATATTTATAATTTTACATTTGCATATATATATATATACATTTACGCATCTTAATGTTAGCGCATCAGCCTTGTAGATATGACCCACAAGTTAGTTTTAATGTCTTCTCGATTTATTCATTTATGAGGACAGCTATCATCGCAAAGTGGAGTATCCTAGCACTTTTCTAAAATTTCATCCACGTCCATTCTCGTGCTGTCGGAAATGAGGAAAAGGAGAAAGAAACCTTGAAAAACTGAAATCATGGCAATAATTCGATTGTCTTGTCAAACAATTAACACCGAGTTTGAACGTGCAAACGGATTCTATCCGTGCTAAAGTATTTGTGTGGCTACCTCTCCTATGCAAATTAGTTGTAACTCTTCAACTCGCATTTGTTAATTTTATTTTCATTTGTACCCTTGATAATGGCGTCATGAAGTCGCCGAAACGTCGGGATATTATATCGCTCGTTTTTACCTGTCTACGAATAACAACGTCTGGTAAAAATCCCTGGAACATCGATTTCCATCGGAAGAAATCTTTGGTTACTGCATACTCATTCAGCACTAACTGGTAAAACGAAAACATAATGATTCTTCCATCTTTGCACAAAGGTTGGATCGCCGAACGAAACGCCCATTTGAAAATAAAAAATATGTCAGGAAAAAAAATTATATAAAGGTTGGTGCCACACGGGACCCCCACTGAACATCGTGCTGAAGTAATTAATATCTTTGCAGGAGTTTTTTTTTTGGCACAGTAATGAACCAGAAAGTGAGAGATTTGAATCTCCGTAATAAGTAAATAAAGCTCCTAGCTGTTGCTAATCAACATATCTTTTAATTAGGAAGGCTCTATCGTGGTTTAGTTATGGTCTAATGAATGCATTTTCTTAGCCAAAAGCGATCTTTGCAGAGATAAGCACCACCCGAGCAGTTGTAAAAATAAAACTTGAAAAAAGTTGCATGTTTTGTCTCGAAAGATAAAGGAAACCCTCACATCTAGCACTGAGAAAAAAAAAAAAAAAAAAAAACTAAACAGAACCAAACCAAACAAAAAAACAAAACACAAAAACAAAGCAAAAGAAAAGAAAAAAATATACTCAGCTACAACTAAAATTGCCATTTCTCACCCCTCTTTGTATTTTCTTGAGAGAGTAACTTTTCTGATGATGACTGAAACGCTTTGGAGATGTATTAATTTATGTTTCGTTATTCACTAATCCTGCATAAAATGATAAGGTTCTAGAAAGTAATACATAGATTAGCTAAATAAAACATACATTTTTAGTAATCTTTCTTCATACTGGAAACATTTGGTTCAGAGTTGTTTTAGTATTAAGATGCTGAGATCTAAATATTAGTTTTTCATGACTCGAACCCTCAGACCCGAATTTTTATTTCATTTTAATTTTAGATCTGGATTTTTAAATTTACTAATAAAGCTGAAAATAGAGGGTAGCTTCTAAACTAAAGAATTGCGCCACGGTTTTCTTTTCCCGCTTTTCAACCATATGGCTTTTGCACATAATCAAAATTCAGAGGCACTCACCATGAAAAGACAAACAGCTTAGCATGGAAGAACCAGCTGGAGGCGTATATTGTGCTCGTGATGACTCACCCTTGAATATGATTGCTTTGGACCTTCAGTCTAAATTTTAGAGTGGTCTCTAGGTGGTCAATCTGTACCTTTTTTTGATTTTGCAGTTCCCAACTAATACTTTAAGATCGCAAGAAAGTAAAAATCTCCTGGTTGCCCGTTCACAAGCCAAAGTTTTAATTGCATTTCTCATTTTCCCAGTCCACATTTCTAGATTATTACCGCCTTTCCCTCCTCTCTTGTTATTTCTTTTTCCGATTTTCACAAGAGCATCTCAACCTTACCTTGTCTCTCTCTATGATGTAGGTTTGGTAACGGTGGGTTTGCTCCGAGCGACGTCTTACTAAATGTTTAAATTTCGTGCAACAATTTGATCTGCGCATGAAAAAAGGTCATGTTTAATTAATTAAGGACAGCTGTTTTGGTTAGTGATTACTTTTCAGTGTTTGTCTATTAACTGAGAAAGGCCTCATTATGGATTTGGGGAAAGGGGCCGGTGAAATTCTTGTAATGAACGTTCCAATGTAGGTTCCATCAGCAAATCGACTTAAAACAGGTTTGTACGGTTGGAAAACTTAAAGATATCAGTGAGCTGATGTCCTTGGAATTGGATAAGACTGGATAGTAGAGGACTAACATTCCTCCCCGTAAGGGTTCCTGACATTTTAAACACTATGTATCTTAGACTTAATTTTTCAATTTGTGTACAGTCTTTTTTCCGTGGAAAAAAGTAATCTTTGACTGCCTGAGTTAAAGACGTGTCACGTATGCTTATGACAAATAAATTAAGGAGAGAGCTTCTTTCCACGATACCCACGATAAACTTCTCCTCCAGGGCAGTAGCCGAGAATGTGTTCAAAAACTGTCACATAACAGCAATTTTGTTTGGAGAGGCAAATAAAGTAACTTTTCTTCTGTGACACTTGAAATTGGTTCTTTGGCCAATGGTCCCTGACAGTTGAAAGGTTGAAAGAGGTATGCAGGTCTGTGTAAAACGTTTTGTATGGTGGATAGCCGCGGGAATAATTATTGACCTCCGACAAAGATTATAACATTTTTAGTGAAAAAAGAGGCCTGTCTTCGCAGATGGATTTTAAACCTTCAGAAAACTTTCATTTAGGGATTTTGGAACCAGATTTACCTAGACCGTGGAAAGATAGAGGAATTTCTGATTTTAATAAAAATGATGGGATAGAAAGAAAGGTATTCATCTCCAACTGATCTACTTCAGTTGGGCGACGTTCTTTTGGTGAATAAATATGAGAACTAAAATTATTTCGCAGCCTCTGTCCTTGGAAAATCATTTTGCTGAGATGAAGGACTCACTTTAATGCGAAACTACATTACATGACCTGTATGTTAAATTGAGATCTCAGTAAGAAGGCAGTTTCTAAATTAGGTAATTTGTCAAAACTCTTGCCATGACAGAAAATTAAGAATTCTGGCGGTACGAATCCTCAGACATTGTTTGCAATGTTTACGCTTATAGCAAAATTGTTTATCTTCAGCATATCTGAGTTATTGCACAAGAAACAATGTGCAGCAGATATGCTGCTTTACAGAGGCTTTTCTTCAAATCGATTTTCTTTTAAAAAGGATTAGTTGGACGAAATTAGTTGGACGATGTAAATAAGCATAAATGGATTTAACTTACCCTTAGGTTTCTGGCAAAGGTAGAAAGTATTGAATTCTCTACTGACTTCTGCTGCCATAAAAGCGACAGTAAATGAATGAAGCTTGACTAATTTCTCGGTTTCGCTCCAGATTTTCTTCAACAAATATCATTATTAAACGATTCATTAACAGGTATAACTTTTTCTTTCGGGAGAAGTCAAGTTTTGCTCAATGATTCTTGGAAAACAAGCTGGAGCCTCAATAAGGTTTTCAAGGAGATAAACAGCATCGATACTAACCTGTGACGTATATAACTCCTTATACATGTTTTATGACTTAACTTCTTTTCGTATAAAATGTTACCGTTTGTACAGTAAATGGGTCTACTTGCCAAGCGCTTTATCTCAGCCAAATGCCGATTTCAGTGAGCCTTTTTTGAAATATTCACAACTTTTCCGATGATTTCCTGCCTAATTTGAGAAGCGCCTCAGACAAATTAATGTTTACTCAGGTTTGTTAGTGTGATTCACCTCATCTTCATTGTCGACTTCTGGAAATTGTTTTTTGAGTGAGACTCATTATGTTCTGGGTACAAATCATGCTCAATTGTACAGTCTAAAAAAATGCATACTGCAATCCAATCATTGTGAGTTTTCGCTGATAAAACGACTGAGTTAGGATCTACTGGAAAAAGTGAGTTTTTGCCAATAAAACTACTGTGTGGGAATCTACTGGAAAATGTTAATCTTTTCTATTTTCAACCCCTGCCAACTGGTCTTAATAATTAGTGCTCGACTCAATAACCAAATGTTAACCCCGATCGGCCGTTGTTGAGTCTTCAGCAGTTATTATGATTACAAAGTGTTCATGACCTAGTCGTTTTCAAAAGTAAACACAGATGCAGTCGGTCAGGGTGCTATAATTGCTTCTTTTGAACGACTTTTTCAAATTAGAATGACCGTAAAATTAAAAAATTGATCAATGAAAACGAGAACGAAACATAATTTTAAATTTCACACCCTTGAAACTGCCATTTCTTTTAATTTTAGAAATTTAAATCGTTTCAATGAAAGTAACTTGCTACCTATCATCATTCTGGTAATCAAAGTGAAGAATCAAGCTCAAAGATTTACCAATGAGTATGGCTTTTAGTAAATGTAAATAACCTCCTGTTGACTTTTTCATCTTATTCAAATGAATTTCTTCTCTTCATACCCGATTCATTACACAATCTGACTGTCACACTTAATTCGTAAAGTTCTTGTCTCTCCTAAAACTGCTGGGTAAAATTAACAATCAACACATTGTGAGCCACCGATTACTGAATGCTACAACCGACAACGATTTGAGTAGAGTCTTTTAGAATCAAAATAAAGTAATTGAAACATAAACGAAATAGGCCATGATCTGCGGTATTAAAACAGTGGATTGAAATATTGTTACAACGGTTACCTTGCCTACCTGCAAAATTGCTTAACTACTTTTCGTCTGTCTTTTCGAAATTCACTGAGTAATAAGTTGATGAGATTTCTCTTGGCCTCGCTATGAATATGCAAGCAAGTTCTGGCGGCGCAATATCCTTTGTAATAAACTTTGTTCGAGAAGGTCTGATTTTCCTGAAAATGTCATAAAGGGGCGCACGGGCATTGATATCTAAATCTGTGACGACTTATAATTTGTTTCGCGTCTTTTGAGTTCCTCTTGATTCACTGTCAACAGAGGGCTTGATTGGTTCAAACTGAGTCCGCACTAATTGGAAAAGGTGGGTTTTGGTTAATTGACATACGTTCTTATGATACCGTTATGTACGGTTTTTTTGACATATGTTCTTATGATACCGTTTGTAATTCTTAAGGTATTTCAAAATTAGTTTTGGCGATTGTTCAGACAGTATGTGGAAGTTAAGAGTAAGGGAAATAAGTTTGGCTGATTCTTAGAGAAAAAGCCAATCAATATTTGGTAACACATTGAAAAAAGAATGAAAAATACTATTAAGCGTCTTCTTAGTACAACTGATCCCCTCGAGCTTCAAGTGTAAAGATTGTTAGTAATTTTGAAATGGAAAATTAATGTCACTGAGCTGTTATTCTAATCGATCGAGTTCACGCACGTGCATTTTTCGCTAAAGTCAACGCTATTCAGGATCATTTTATGAGCCTATAAACCTGGCCTGAATCTTTTGTGGATTAACCCTTTGTCCTTGAATAAGGACTTTCTTCAATCACGCTGACCAGGAAAATGTTATGGCGAATCTAACACATGCACAATTTACCCATCTCACGCCTAAAGAACTCACCAATCTCGTTTTGCAACTTATTAAAAAAAAAATTCGAGTACGTTCTATTCCACAAGATTTCGTACTTTCTTCTTGTAAATCTCGCAACTCGATTCATCTCTGCGTGCATGTCTTGACAACAAAAGCTTTTCCAGTTCACCAAACGTATACTGTAAATTGCAAGTATTACCACCGTCACTAATTCATTTTAATATTACTACTATTAAATCATGATTATAATAAAATTATCATCATCATTATTACAGTATTACTATTATGTAGTTATCATTGCTATTTTAAAATTATCATTATTATTATCATCATTATTTTTATTCTTTGCATGTCTGTTTGCAAAGAAAATAACGATACAAATATGTAAACGAATGAACTGAGAATATCAGTCAAAGAATAAAAAACTTTATCTAAGAGAGTAAAAACTACAACTTTAATTAATCCACATAAAGGGGAATTGTAATATGTAAAGAGAAAAGGCTTGGACTTGAACCCATGCCTTAACAAGTGTCGTGTCTAATCATCAAAATAAGGCATTTTTTTAAAAGCGATTTTTGGCTCTTTGTACTTTGCATACTTTCTTTCCTTTCAGGACAAAGTAAAATTTTTAGTAGGTGTTTAACACACTTTTACTTTTGAAGGCCAGTCATTGTCTTCTCCTGAATTTGAACGCGATCACGTATTCTGTTTCGTCTGCAGTAGAGAACACGACGAAACTCTGCCTTGAAAGCCTCGTTAGTGCCTGCATAAATGAATGGGTTAACTGTACTAGAAAAGAACAGCAAAAAGGTGCACACAAGTTGCACATTTCGTGGCACTACACTTGAAGTAAAACGTTGTATCATAGCTATGATCCAAAATGGAATCCAGCATAATCCAAATGCCAGGACTATAACTGCAAGAGACTTCGTAATTTTTATCTCTCTTATGCTCAAGTGGCCGTCTTGTCCTGCTCTTTGGAATGTGGTTATTATGTTCATGTTATGTTGCTTAATTGTCTCAAACACTTTGTAATAACAGAAAATAGCCAAGGTGAATGGGAGAACGAGAAATAGCGACACCACCACGCAGTAATGTGTAATTTTAGCAGCTTCAGTTGGATGAACAATAGTGCACACAGCATAGCCAGGAATAAAGCCATAAGCCGTCCAACCGGCCAGCCTGGGAATCGCAACATACCCAGCAACGAACATCCATACCGCACAAACGTAAAGCTTTGAAAGGAATGGCGTGAAAATGTGGGGATAACTGCGTGTCTTGACAATTCGAATATATCTGTTAATAGCCGCCAGGCCCATGGTGGTAGGGGAGACATACACAGAAAAAAGGGTGAAAAACGCGTGAAAATTGCACATAATTTCCCCATAGGGCCATTTCCCAGTTATCAGGACACCAACTGTTAGCAACATAACTGCGATGGAATTGAGAAGATCGCTGATTGCCAATGCAAAGACAAACACGTTGGTCGTTGTGCGAAGAGCTGGGTTTCTGCAAATCGAAATGCAAATCAGTAAGTTGCCTGTCGAACACACAATGGCCATGGTTACCAAAATCGCTGGCTCGATTACAACGAGTGCCAGAGGACGTTGTTCCATGTCTGGATACTTCATTGACGTAAAAGTTATCAGACGAAGTGTGGTTTTTCGCTGACCTTAGCAGCTCGCAAATATCGACTAAGTTTCGTAGTCGACGGTATCGTTAATTAGATCTTCACACCTGCAGACTTAGCATATTTTTGGATAAAGAGCACTGAACTAAAAGGGGGAATTATAGTACCTGCTAAGAGTTCTAATCATGTTTGACAGGTTTGTCAGAACATTTCAAGAAAATCGTACTCTTGCATAATGATAACAGCGACAAAGAGGACAGGAACGACAACGCTATGGTAGTTGTATTTGTCATAAGATTCGTTCAGATTTATTCGACAAATCATCTGGTATGTTAATCAGGTTGTGTAAACAAATTCCTGTATCTAACTAAACATGAAAACTTGTCTCCATCTTCCTTAATGCTATTCGGAACTAGACAAAAATTAGAACACTCCTCAGACATTGTAATAAAAAAAAGAAACAGGTTTAATCATCTAAAATAATGTTTGAAATTTGTTAAGCCTACTTTTGTTTTAATTAGCACCGTCAAGAATTTCAAAAGCTGATGTTGCAACAACAACAAATTTAATATTTATATTGAGCATAATAAATGTAAAATATGATCAAATACGACCAACGAGTCCAAAAGAGTAATTTTTTTTTTAATTCAGATCGAGATATATGGATAGTTTTCAAAACTCTATTCAGTTATAGTGATATCAGATACCAGGAGACTAAACCGAATTAAATGATTCCTGATGAATGATCGGCGCTAGAGAATTCGATTAAAATATTGAAGTCTTTGACTAGTTTGACGAAATAAGAGCAACAATGCTCGCGGTCGGTAAGCCACAGGTAGTCGAGGAGAGTAGTGGTTTAACGCATAACAGAAAATTTCAACTAAATCTATCTAGAATACAGCTGCAGTGCAAAAAAAAAAAAACTGACAGAATAGTAAGTAATTACTGTCGACAACGTGTGACTAATTATCCATATCATGTCGATAAGATAAGAAACGAGGTTTACATACAAAGGAAGATACATACAAACGCAGATAATTATCAATCACTGAACTAATAGATTTTAAATTCATAAAAAAGGAAAAACTAGATATCAAAATACTTTAACTAAACGATTACAGCCAACTATAAAGTATATTACTTCAGGTCTGTAAAATTACCAAGACTTTCGAGAAAGGGGCCTCTGGCTTGCTCGTCTGGGTGTGAGTAGACCCGGGTAGGACTGGAGAGGACTGATGTCGGTGTCGTGACTTCCGTTTCAACAAACTGAGCGGAAGTCATCATCAGTTTCAAAACATGGAAGATCAGGAGAGACTAAAAGATCTAAGGAGGGAATATTTAACTTATGGGTGTTTAGAAAGTTCGAAAGATTTTTTTTTCCTTCAAGGAAAAAACAAAATTTAAAATTATCATGTTCAGCAAAAGGCTCCCACGTCGCGAGATAAAACCGTCGCAGGTGTTACTCGAATCATAGATAATCAGGCATGCGCAACTCTTAAGTCTTCAACCAGCCAGCTGCACTGCACAAATAATTTTTCGGAAAAATATAATTAGAGATAAGTTTGTGATTTGCTTAGGTTGGCAGGATATACACAGACGGACTTGAGTCAATCACTCATTAACGTTTCACGTTTTTCACGTTATTGAGTCAACGGTTTTGAACATTTGGATGTCAGACGAAACATATTTTTAAAATAAAATTTATCGCTTTTTCGGGCAAAAAAAGCTCTCGTTAAGTATTCAGAAATGGGGAATAGTGTAATTATGAAATCGAGTCGGGGAGATATGCATATTCTATTCGAATCTTTTTAGATTTACCTTTTTTTTTTTTTTGTAGATGCTGGCAATTAATTTCTCAAATTCCAAGCAGGTTTGAAGTCTTAGTCGAGGGAGAGTGTTTGGTAGAAGTTTCTTTCACACTCTTTAACGATCTACCTCCTAAATATGTATTAAAAAAAGTTGTTCAGAGAAGACCGTCTAAAGCGAAATGAATTAAGGCGAATCTCACCCTAGAAATGGGCAATTTCAGAAATAGTAAAAACTATAGTCATCCAGAGATATAAAGATGTAACAGACAGTTAAAGTGACGAGATAACATAAAGAGTGTTAAGGGGGAAATAAACAATCGGAGAATGACGTGCACGAAACTAATCATGTTAAATGCGAAGCTCAGGATAATGAGACACAAAATTCATATTTTTGCAAGGAAATGACGGCCTTCAATTAAACCTTTTGTTTTTGCTGAGAGCGTTTTAACAACGCCTCTTATGTCTCCTTCCAATGAGAAAAACCCTGCGCAGATAAATCATACCTATCAGGAAAACGTTTCCCACGATTTCACACGAAACGCGCCATCCTACGCAAACGGGCTTGAATCAAAGGTGGTTCGTACTATGCGAACAGACGATACATTCTTGCCGATGGCTAGTATTAAATTTATTGCTAAATAAACATTTTTATCGGTTTCTCTGTCGTCCTGTTGTCTAATGACAATTACAACCCTTAATTGCAGCGTAAGCGTCGCTGATGACTTTCCGAACGGCGACTCGCTTCTCTCCGTGCCGCCAAAAATAAACAGCAAAGTTCAAAACTGCGTTCAACATCATTATTACCTCAATGAAACGCCAAACTATGGCACGAAGTACTGGGTCGACAACAATCGATTCTAAGACGAAGTAGTAGCCCATGGCTGGAGCAAAACATAAGATAAACATTGCTACTAATACGCCGAATGTTTTTGTAATTTTTCTCTCATGAACTCGTCTTCTTTCTTCTTCCGGGCTTGGATTTGGTCCGACAACGACACTTCTAAGACGACGAATACGAAAAATAATCCTTACACAAGTGAAAAGTACAATTACACTGCTGAAAACTACTGACACGATTACCAGCGCCAGATAATCAATCATTCCTGTGAAAACACATACGCTTAAAAACACGCGAAATAGCGCGTATGTACCAAAAGCAATGACGATACGCTTTTTGGTCACCAATTGCAAATACCGCGCACCCTTAAGAATCGCTATGTAGCGATCGATAGAGATAACAGCGATGTTCTGTAAAGTGCTATCGGCTACTAAGGTCACTATACCAGTGACGATATGTTCCAGTGAACAAGTTATCGAAGGACATACCAGGAAGAATATAGCGTCTGATATGATCAGCGGCTGCATTACGACACCATTAAACAGGCCCACTGATGCCAAGCTTAGCAAGCACATGTTCAGAGGAGTTTGAAGAGCTGGTGTCTTGGCGTACGCTGCGATCCAGAGAGCGTTACCCATGACAGACACCACAGAAAGACCACAGGTTAGAATCACAACCAGCATCAGGAGTGGCCAGTATAGGAAACTCGGCTCAGAGCATGATGTTGAACCCGGATGCAAAGGCCAGGTACAGAGTGGCTTGCTGAAGTTCGGAACCGACATTTTGATAGGAGTAGCGTTTAAATCACGCATTGAAATCGTTTCTCAAAGTATGTTTGTTCTCTTACAAGAAACCACAAGTTCTTTGGGTCCAAGAGACCTTCTAAGCAATGCTTCGTTTGTTTGTGAGAAATGCCAGTTGTTACGTAACTGAAGGCCCTTGAAGTGATGTTTTGGATATTGAATACTGCATCAAGGAAGCAAAAAAAATTAAATAAAAATAAATGTTTGTCTCTATAACGGCAACTAGAATTTAAAATGATTAGATCTACACAGAATTACATTTTAGGACAAGCATTCGAGGAAGGTAACACCCAAAAATAAATAAATAACTACATAAATAAATAAATAGAGAAACACTGTCGTTGCATGTCTGCGGTTTTCGTTGAAAAGCGAAGACATAGACAAAAATAAACCTTTATAAACTTGCTTGTTTTTTTGCTATTATTGATTTTCGTCAAAAATTCAAAGTTTCGGCTTGCAAAAAGACCAGGAGAAGGTTGTGTACTTCTGTTTAAATTGCCAAAATTATTTCGGAGTCAAATGTCATTACGAAACGCAAATAAAAACATGTTTGTGGGAAATAAGTTTCAATGATGGTATTACCTGGAAAAAACCCTTTTCAGAATTCATGTGCTGGTCAGCTCTCTCAAAAATACCAAGTAAATCTTCCTCCAATTCCTGACCGGGTACAGCAAGTGAAAGGACGCCAAAAACCTCACCGAAGGATATAATCCACCCACAGAAGACCCCTAATATTCATGTTTCTAAGGGAAGGCAACTTCTGTTTTATTCAAATTCTGTTTCGTGCAAAACCGGATCCCTGCAAAAGAGGCTTTTGTGTTCTAAACTTTCACCTGTGTTGAGTACATGTATGGAAACTTTTAAAATAGAATTTAAATGCTTTTCGACACTTCGATAAGTCGCTCAAAGATCTCAAGTGCGGCGCGCAGAGTTCGGCAAAATTCTGAGCTTTTAATTTAAGATTATAGACAGAATTATAATCGTCACAAACCACGTAATTTCGTGGCTCCAAATACTAACAGTTGTACTGTTCTTTTGTGCGCAGATCTTTTACATTTGCCTACGTAAAAACATACATACATCCGTTCATCTCATTCATGTCCAGTAACACTCGGTCGCCAAATAATTAACATAAGTCCTTCGGCTGATTGACTTTGCCCGAAATAATCAGACTCCCGATATTTTGCGGGGACTCTTTGGACGTTACAGAGAATATGGATCGCATTAAATTCTGTTGATATCATTCATCAATGCCTCGCTAGCAACATGTTCTAACAGCCTTAAATTGAACTTTAGACACTATGAAATACAAGTTTCGAATAATTACTCTAAGAAGTAAAACAAAACTGTAATTTGAAATCAATCGCATTTACTAGGTTTATCTAAAATGCGTTCGTTATTCGTATTACATATTACAGACTTGGTCAACAGTAGAATTCTTTGTTAATACATGTACTTCAGAGCTAAATTGTTCATACTCATCGTAGCTACGAGATAAACGTGTTAATGATACATACAAGAAATTATATCAAAACATTTTGCTGAGTTTATTCTAACAGCTTCACTTGAATGACAACAATATGATTTGATGCTCACTACACGTTGTATTTTAACGTCGGAAGGCGACAATAAAATCGAGAATTAAGTTACTTCTTGTTATATGTTGGTCTACCTGTGCCCTTTTTACCATATAAGGAAAACTTCGTGGTGAGCTCGAGCGAGCAATAACTGAGAACGACTAACCATCACTGTTACTGTGTTTAGTGGTAGTTTATTTAATGTTACACTTTCGAATATATTACACTTCTCGTTATTTCATGAAAAGCATGTCGAGGTAATACATAGTTGCAATCAAAATGTTTCGTGTCTATTTAACAAATTATAACTAATTGTGGTTTTTAGCGTTGGTCTGTTCACTTATCGACAACGACATTCGTCATCAGTCATCGAAATGTTGCAGACCACAACTTTCTGATCACTTTGATGAAAAATATGAGTACAGACCATATATGATATGATATAAGTACAGACCACGCTAAAGCACTGGCGATTTGTTCTTTTATGACGATATGGACGCCACACTGTTTAGGCCGACCAGCGGCCGAATGAACGAATTGCGAACTGGTATAATCACGGTATCTCTTGTCGATGCAGTGGATGGAAGAGCAAATTAACGGCAATATAAAAAAAATAATAGTTATAATGCAAAAAAATAAAAAGACAACAATGAAACAAATGGGAAAGCATGTCAATCAACAGCTTAAGATGAATTGGAGGGCACTCATACATGAAGTCGAACAAAAATAAATCGAACAAAAAATTTTACTTTTTGCGTGTCGCACAAAACGAGCAGAACTCTCCTGATATAATTGAGCATAAGTCTACAGACTCATTGACATTCCAGCAAACCACTTGATTCCATTCGCCATCATGGTCAAACACATCCATCTCCACTATTTCAGTACTGTTGTTTTCCCCCGATTCCGAGTCTTTCTTAAAAAGGGAGCAGTTTAGATACTTCAGGATGGAGAACGTCTTCGGAAACACTATACAGTCATCCTTTTTTCCTTTAGGCTGAACTGAAATGCCAAATTTACTCCTTCGCATGAAATTCTTGAAATCCTCTCTTTCCATGATATGCCAAATCAACAAAAAATTGTTATAAACGCCACGTTTAGAATCTTTCTCTACCAGTTTCTCCATCACGGGGACTTGGTACGTTCCATCCTTTAAGGGTATTTTAAGACGCTCGATTGCCTCGATTTGGGACAAAATGTGCTCTCTTCCCTCATCGGTGTCTCTTACCATGAGAAGAAGTTCAATAAGGGTAAAAACCTGATCCTCGATGGCCTCCGGTTGCTTAAAAACTGGTTTACTGAAAGATTTACGTGGGTTCAACAAATTAGATCTCTGGAACAGGGCTGGCTCAGCAGATTGGGGGTGCAGAGAGTATTCCATAGAAACCAGTAGAGGATGTTGCATCGGTAGGTCAGAGCTGGTTTTTTCACTTTTCAAAGTTTCCAAATCCTTCCTGATCAATTCAAGGATCTCTAGGGTCTTTTGGCCAAGTTGGTGAAGCTCCCATTTCTCCTCGCTTTCCATCAGAACGTTCAAGAACAAGGTCTTTAGCGTGTAGGTTCCAATGACTGCTTTGTATTCCATCGTGTACAGGTCCAGTTGAGACTCAAGGAAAGTTTGAATAAGATACTTCAAAACACGATAGCAACGTTTTTCGACCGAGTCGAGCGGGAGAGAGCTAAGCTTCGATAACTCCCATGTGGACTCTGATCTTCGTGAGCACGAGATCGTATTGATCGACCAGAAATCGAAGAGAAGTTGCAGAGGTTCAGAGTTCGGTGCACTATGGGGAATCTGGATGGCAAAGCAAATGTCCACTGACACAAACCTTTCTGAACCCTCAGCATCAGTAAACTTAAGGATTTGGAGGTATGTTCTACCTGAGGGGTATTTCAATCGGGCCACATGTTGCCACATGGTGAATTTCTTAACCTGTGACTGCAATGATCGATGAATCGCTTCAGACACCATGGCGGAGATTTCATCTCTCCAAGGACTCTTGCCATCTTTAAAAATTAGTTGATTACTCCTCCTTTGTTCGTTTTCCTCTTGATCGCACCAATCAGGGCAAAGAATGTCTTCCATGAAACAGAGCTCCTTCATGTTCAAAACAAGCTTAGTCGACTGAATGTTCATGTCATAATTATCTGCACAAAAAGGTTTACCATCTTTCCACACCAATTGTTCTTGCAATTCAGTTAAAATAAAAACGTAGTCAAATTCATCCGCTTGTCCAATCTTAGTACCTTCCACCATACTCCCCCCCTGTTGGACAACAGCTTTGTGAAACAAACGGTACTTACCAGAAAGGTCCAGTAACGTACCTTGTATGATTTGGTTCAGCTCTTCTCGGATAATTTGAGAGTTTTCACCGTCTGGAAAGTTTGCTTTTGTGTCAGCGAGCCCCGTTAAGAAAAGGTCAAGCTGATTTGGGCAAGCCATGGTTACGGAGTCTTCACAAGGTATTTTTGAAGCCATTCTACACTGAATCGTCAGATCTAAAATAAATTTGAATCGATAGCTTTACCTCTTGATCTTGTAATTTTAAAATTCAAACCTTTAATTCAGCCTGATAATTCCCTCGCAATTTAAAAACCGAAAGAAAGAATCATCTTCACGAATCATCACTCATATGTTCAAGAATCATCACTCATATGTTTCATATGTTTGTTGTTGTTCGAAAGAAAGTTGTTGTTGTTCGAATCATCACTCATATATTCAAGAATCATCACTCATATGTTTCATATGTTTGTTGTTGTTCGAAAGAAAGAAGTTGTCAAAAATACAAGATACAATCATTCTAAACATTATATTGAAAAGGAAAACCTCATAAACATTTACTTTCCACGCACATAAACATACGCTTACTACTAAACTAGTTTCGTCTACCGACCTCTTCAGTTGTTTGCAATTGCGATGTATTGTTAAAAAATTCAAATCTCAGGTGAATTCATATAACATTGCACGAGGAATAACCTGGTATCTAGTTAAAGAAAGACGCTAAAGTAAAACTGATAAAACAATAACAGCGGTAAAGTAAAACTGATAAAACAAGAAGTGTAAAAAATAACAGCAGACTAGAATTCGGTTTCACTGTGCAATAGTCATGTGATAAAGTGAAAAAAAAGAAAAAACAGTAAGAAAACGACGAAAGTAAAAAGCATTCCAATAGCACGTTTTTACCACACAAAACCTAAGGTTGTGTCAGGTCACTGAGAAAAAAAGGGTGAGAAAGGTAGAAAAACGAATCATTTTCTTTTCTAATTTCCTTCCGTTTACTCGATATTCGTTTTCCATCTTCCAGCCCTTCTCTTCCAATGGTGGAACAGTTAGAGGACTTTTTCAACGGAGAATCCATAAAAGTCAGAAATAAGTATCTCAGTTTGTAAAGAAAACCTTGAATCAGTGCCACATGTCCCTTTAGTAAAATTCTGCCACAAGAAAACTACTTCTATAGGGTGTGGACAAAACCTGGCCTAGGCCATGGCCTACCCTGTGGCCTACCCTGTGGCCTACCCTGTGGCCTACCCTATGGCCTACCGGTGGTCAGATTTTTAAANTCGTTGGTAAGACAGTACTCAGGAAAACGTTGAAAGGTTTCCAGCAATGCTATCCTTTTAAAAATCTGACCACCGGTAGGCCATAGGGTAGGCCACAGGGTGGGCCACAGGGTAGGCCATAGGGTAGGCCATAGGGTAGGCCACAGGGGACGCCACAGGGTAGGCCATGGCCTAGGCCAGGTTTTGTCCACACCCCTTGTATAACGTACGTCACGTTCTGAACAATGAACTGTCGCTATACACTTGTCTCCGCGATCGACTTTTTGCTGAGTGATTACGGTGCTTAACAGAACTTGACACAATTCAGAATTTGAAAACGGCTCATATTCATTTCATCTCTTTCGCTCCCTTGATCTCTGTCAACAAATTTGAAGTTTAACAAATACTTTCGGAAGGCATTCAAGCTGCTTGCAAACGACAATTTGTTCTATGCATCAGTTGAGGTTTCTACCTCGAAAAGCCAAGCTCCGAACAATATATTTTTAAAGATTTTTTGCAGACCCTACCTTAACGTTTCTATATGATTGATGTATACCTCGTCAACTCTTGCTGTGTTCCTTTTGTTGCTTGAAACCGAAATTGATCAGTCTCAAGTCCGTTTGATGACATTGACCGTCAAAACTTATTGCTGCGTTGCGATACTTCGCCTCATTTCGCCACAGCGGACTTCACAGCTTACCACTAATCAGCAAATTGTTGGCTCTGATGTCGTTTCACTCAAAAGCGACCGTATAGTTCGCCTCAAGATCACGTAGGATCTTTCCTTGTTGTTAAATTATTACTTCCGTACTGCGCGTGACAAGTCTATGCGCTCTACTCGGCTCCAAGCTCCCACAAACCATACGTAACACCTTCACCAACACAATGTCACGCAACACTTCATCTTCTTATGGCGGGAATAATTAAATGGCGACCAATTCGATAAGCTTGAAGTTTTTGCCTCGTCCTCTGCGAAGAGCTTTGCTTGATTTTCAAAAAGAGGGTGTTCGATTTGGAATAAGAAAACAAGGAAGGTAAAACAACCAATGAAGTTTATGAAAACCCAATGCATATCTTAAAATGATTCAATGTTATTGCTTGTACTGAACTGTCCCGCATGAAATTATGCGTCCTAATTTAAACTGATTTAAATTACGAATATATTTTATATAAATGTGCTTGTTAGCTTACACCGAAACTCATTTTGATTTGTGTTTATTTTTCCGTGGCTATTCACATTACAGATGTCTGATTGGAGACGAGGTATGTTCGAGTACTTTTGCTTCAAATGATGAATTAAATTGATCCCTTGTTCCATACAAATGAATCAATTACCTTGTAAATAATTAGGCGAGGGTATGCAAAAGGCTTCTTACAATTTCGATTCATCGACTGATCAAGAGTTAGATACTCTCTACAACTTCAATTCTTTGTCAAACAGATAGATTTGACAATCAAGAAATTTGCCAAGGGGACATAATTTATAGTTGGAATCAAACACTAAATTGTCTTTGCTAAAATATAGTTAGCCTTCTAACTCCTGTTAGTGACTAAGGCAGAATTTCTCCCTACGTTAGCCATACAATGTCAAGCAGAAAAGTGTTGAGAAAAAAAAAAGGGATAAGTAGTTAATCCAGTGCCAAATTCTCCAAACTAACATCACAACAACTGTATGGCAGACAGTAAGAAGAATTATTAGGGATATCTTGGAAATGAAAGGACAGCTGATTTAAATCCATAACTGTGATTATGTCATAATATAAATTTGTGCAGATGGGACTAGGGAAAACCCTTCAAGCAATCAGTATCGCATATTATTACAAAGATGCCTGGCCACTGTTGATTGTGGTGCCATCCTCTGTCAAGTTCTCCTGGATTGATGAGATTGAGAAATGGCTGCCTGAGTTTGAACCACATGATTTGAATCTCATAAGATCAGGCTGCGATATCAGGTTTGTAATGAATGTTATGTGAAGCAAGAAATGTCCCAGAAGCATTATGTTGTTTATTAGGTGACTCATCTGTCTTTAAAATTCATGAATGATAGAAGGATGAGAAATTCTGCTGCAGAAAAACTTCAAGGTTGTTATTAGAAAATGTAATAAGAAATTTTTTGGATGTATGATCTGAACTGAAAAGGCAGCTTAATTGAATTAAGCTTGTGTGAGGTCCATGACCCATGAGCACCCATGAGTGTATTTACCCATAAGCCCTTGCAGTAAAAAAGAAGAAGACCAGAGAATAAAGAAAGCACATGGTTCAATAGTTTCAAAGTTTATTCGGCGACTAAATGACAAAATTGGTGTTTCTGGACTTTTCGATTTTTCCACATGAAACGACGACCGTTTTCCCTTCTTTCAGCTGATTAGCCCTGCCAGAAACACCAATTTTGTTACTCGGTCACCGAATAAACTTTGAAACTATTGAACCATGTGCTTTCTTTATTCTCAGGTCTTCTTCTTTTTTACTACAATGGCTTATGGGTAAATACACTCATGGGTGCTCATGGGTCACGGACCTCACACTTACTTTGCAAACAGGCGCATGTTGAAAGAAAATTTCCCTTCTAGGTGGGTTGGGAGGCATGCGCCCATGGGAAAAAATTAAAATAATTGAAACTCTCAGAGACAAGATTTCACGCATTCTGGGGCACTTTTGAGTACCTTTTGTAGCCACTCATTGCTTCTAGAATCAGTTAAAAAATATTTATTTTCTGTGGGTTTCCTACGGTCTGCCTTCTTTTGACAACCCTGAGAAAGACCTTGTTCCTATAGTCTTTCACCAAAATAATTTTTTTAAAAACATAAACAGCTAACTAACTGAAATAAACCAAGAAAACATACGAAAAAAAGAAAAAAGAAAGAATAAAACCTATTTAAATAAAAAGATCCTTTCTAAGAAGGTCTGTCCTGTAGTAAACAACTTTTAAAAATTAAATGTACATGTGCTTAAATCAGCACTTTTTAATTTCTTTTTCAGTAACCTTGGAAAGGCCATGATTCATGTTGTGGGTTATGGTCTACTGAGCGTAGCAACCTCTAAGTTGTTGCTTGAAGCTCTGGAAAACCATAAGTTGAATATTGTCATACTTGATGAATCACATTACTTAAAGAACAGGCAGTCAGTGCGCACAAAGCATCTGCTTCAAATCTGCAAGAAAGCCAAGCATGCCATTCTGTTGAGTGGAACTCCTTCACTAGCTAGACCTAGGGAGGTTTGTGAAAGATGCTTTAGTTGGACTGTGAATGTATGAAAATCATATATGTGAACTGCAGATTAAGAAATGAATATCAAAGTGATCTTAATTCCAATAATGAAAATTAATGGAAAGTTGTGAAATTAAAGGCCTGAAAGAAAATTCATGAATCCATGATATTGGTTCATAATAAACCTGTGAAGTGCTACATAAATGACTGTAAACATATGCCCCAGTTTGTCTGGTTGGCTGTTTTTACTTGACAACATAGCATTGACATTTTCTTTCTTCTTTCAATGAATTAAGCTATTTCCTCAGCTGAACATTGTTTGTCCAGGCAAGTTTGGTTCCTTCAGTCATTTTGTTAAAAGATACTGTGATGCACGGGATGTATTTTTCAGAGGGAAGAGGGGTTATGACACAAGGTAATGTTACCAATTAAGTGCACTGTATATCATCATGTAAAATTTTGCATTTTTAATGTTTTAATGTGTGACTTACAAATTCATTGATTACTTGATTGATTCATTAATTAAGATTGATTTAAATATGAAAGTGATCTTTGCAGTAATGAACACTACTTAAGCAGTGTTGAAAATAAGGCCTGATAAAAAATTCATGCCTGAACATGATTTGAACCCACAACCTCTGTGATACCAGTGCAGTACTGGTATCACAGTGTAATTTTTGTTAGCTCTACCAACTGAGCTAACAAAAATTAAGCCAACTGGGAGATGATCATTATGTTGGTTCCTAATAAACTCATGAAGTGATGAATCAATGACTGTGATTAGTATAATTTCAGAGCTGAGCAAAGAGTTTCCAGCAATCTGATTGGTCGAGCGGTTCCTTATATGACACTATATAAACCGCTCCACGCGGTTTATATAAAATGTTAAAATAAAATGTTAATATATGTTACTAAAATGTTATGATTTTAGAAATTTCTCTGTTGTTCAGCTCTGAAATTATGCTAAAACAATTATTTGCCTCAGGTTTGGTGAATATTGTTGAATAATCCCCTCAACTTCATCTCAGGGATTATTCGATGATATTCACCTCCCCTTCGGCGAATAATAGTTAAATATATGAAAATCATATGTGAATTGAGGTTGATGAAATGAATATGAAAGCCATCTTGGCAGCATAAATGAACACTACTTTAGATTGATTCAGTAAGTATTCTAAATTGTTGTCAATTATACAATGAATTTTTACCCATCTGATTTAACCCTTTCACTTCTGAGATCTCTATAGTAATTCTCCTTACTGTCTGCCATACAATTCTTATAACATTAGTTCAGAGAATTTGGTATTGGATCAACTAATAATCCCCTAATTGACATTTTTCTTTATTCTCGTCACTTGTCTGCTTGATATATTGTATAATTTTTTTTTTGATATTGTAAGGAGAAATTCTGTCCTGATCTATGTTAGTCCAGTGAATCATTACAAGCTTCAAATCAAGGCAATAAATCATGAGCAGTTTGATTTAGATTATAAACCTCTTCCTATTAACAAATTAATTTTTTTCAATCCACAATTGAATGACACTTTTCTCTTCACAGTGGTGCATCAAACCTTGATGAGCTGTATCATCTCCTGAAAACCCATGTCATGATAAGACGTCTTAAGAAAGAGGTTGGTTTACTTTATGTAGTGCATGAAATTAAACAATGTTAGAATGATACAACTACTACTACACTAGCTACTACTACTGCTACTGCTACTGCTACTGCTACTGCTACTGCTACTGCTACTGCTACTGCTACTACAACTACTACTTATGGTAATTATGATTTTATGTGACTCTCTCCTTTTATAGTAGATTAGCAATTTCATGTAATTTTAGAATGTAAATAAGACTTAGGCTAGCCACGGTCAATGCCTAGCCTGAGTGAGTAGGATCGGCACCCAGATGTGTATACATAATTATACTGCCATGATGATGATAATAATAATGATTAGGATTATTGCCATAGTTCACTCAATATAACGAGGTGCTTTAAGATTGAAATAAGGGATATTAGATGTTTTATTACATTTAAGCATTTTGATAGTGACGTATGCAACCTTTAGTATTCTGTTTGAGGATTTTGCTACACAGAAATTAAGTGTAGGACTTCTATTACCAGGGTTTCATAATTATTAGGAATTGCTATTATAGGAATTTTAATTGTAAGGACTTTGGTTGTTGGATTGATTGGTTACGGCTTGCTGGCCAATCATTGTCTAGGATATCTGGGCATCCAGAAGTTTTTACTGCCATAATAACAATGATATCAATTATAATATTAGTGATAATGATATTTGATAATTAATGTGCTTTCCACTCATAAAACTAGCTTAAAAATGAAAATCCATTAAATGAAAATACATCCTATATCCTAAAAAAATAAAAAAACTAGATTACAGAAATATGATGCAGAAAGAGGCTAATTGTAGATCAAAATCTTACCAAAATAAATGTGTCTTTAAAGTAGATTTAAAAGTGGCTTGAGTGACTGCAACTTACATGTACTTCAAAGTCTAGGTGCAGTAGATGTAAAAGATATATTCCCAACTTTTTCTTCAGTCTGGCACTCTGTTATGTAAGAAGTATACTAGCATTCAATATACACTGAGTAACTTAATTAAGGAGACTGTGAAAATTTCCCTCTTTATTTCAATATAGGTGCTGACTCAGTTACCACCAAAGAGAAGACAAAAAGTGATTTTTGACATCTCAGAGTCCAACAGTAAATACAACACAGTGAGTCAGATTACAGGCAACAGCTATGAATGTGCCACTGTTAACTTACGGGACTGATTAATCTGTCATCCTATTATCATTATTATAAACTTTCCTTGCATTCTGTAGAGATTAATAGGCGTATCTAAACAACGGATTAAACCAGATTACACCGCGGTCCTTAACTCTCTGACTCCATATACTCTCTTCTTCTTCTTCCTATCCTATAATAGTCTTTCATATATCCTGGCATACACTACACATTCTCCTGATGAAATGAATGCATGTATGGTATTGATAAATATTTCCATTCTGGAAATTTTAATTATTGCAGAGGTTATCCTTTTTAAGTGCCTTGCAATTCCTTGTAGTTAATGCCATACTGTGCACAAAGCTGATGACAATTTTCTAATTTCTCAATTCATCTATTAACTCAACAATACACTGAATGTAGAAATCATGGTAATTTTTGCTGATCAACTTCTTGCCTCCTTTGCATGTTCCATACAGAATTTAATGTGTTTGGATTGACAGGGGTTTCATTAAGGGCCTGGGCACTGGACAAATTGCTTGGTTGTGAGGACTTGGTTTGACCATCTATAGAAACATTCATATTCTTATAAAAAAGTTCCACACAAAAATTTTTGCCTGCCTGTGAAAACTAGTTTCCCTCCTGCTGAAAACATTGATAAAACCCCTGATTGACAGCCAGAATGGTTGACCAAACATTCCTGTGCTCTTGTCCTGTTGTTGTCCAGTTGAAATATATATTCTAAATAAATACAGTCTATGTATGGGTGTGTTCCACCAAATGTTTAGGAATTGAAGCAGATCATGAAAGACTTCAGGAAATGTTCTGCCATTATTAATGGGTCAATCGCAGATGATCAGTCAATTGAGTCACCTCTGACAGAAATCAGACGCCTATCAACGCTTGTTTATCACTACACTGGCCTTGTCAAGGTAAGAAAATTCCAGAGTTTGGCTGGACTCCACTTCTATGGCGCATTTTTCCCACTCATTAACTAACTCTTTCACTGGCAAGATCTCATCAGTAATTCTCATTTCTGTCTGCCATACCATTCTTTCAGGACTTAACATTAACGGTAGCCGACTAGCCACAGAGTAGTAGAAATTCAGTTTTGGCTGGTGGTTTTCGATTTTCATTAGCCAGTTTGGCTAGTTAACAAACTGAAATTGTTGTAACACCTAAGTTGTCACTAGCCACCTGGCTAGTAAGTTGAAAAGTTAGTGTCCAGCCCTGTCTTGTGATGTTAGTTTGGAGAATTGAATTTTGGATCAACTGATAATAAGCTAAATGATACTGTATTTTTCTTCATTCTCATTACTTGTCTGCTTGATATTGTATTATTTGATCAATTTTAAGGAAAAATTGTGTCTTGATCACTCGTGGTAGTTGAAGTAGATGCGATGCATGTAATATGTTTTAAAATCAAGGTGTGTCTGTATGCTCTCGGTTAAAGGCGTGCTAATTTGATGTGGCTTTTGTTTCTGCCATCGACTCAGCGACGCGCTACGTCATGAAACGAACCTAACGAAGTCATTAGAATGAACAACAGTTTGAATACCGGACATACAGTGCCGCTTAAAAGTAAGTTAGCACCGTCTCGAGAGACGCGTCTCGTTTTTCTCGAGACGCGTCTCTCGCTTCTCTCATCCTTTTTCATTCTCAATACCTTGTACGCCTAATTCTTTCCTTAAGATTGGTCCAGTTCTGAAGTACATTGAAGACTTGGCTCAGGGAATGGATGGCAAATTTATTGTGTTCTTCCGTCATCGCCTTGTACGTCAAGCGATCGAGGCAAAGTTGGTGGCCTTGAAACTAAAATATATTTGCATTGCGGGTGATGTTCCATCCGGAATCAGAGGGGTAAAATATCCGTTAATACACAGTATGCTCTTGAAATTGCTCGGCACGTGTCCATGTCTGATAGCTAAAGGGCAGGATGCATCAAGAAGCAAGTCCAAGAGACTATACAATGCAACGTTTTCATGTAATCAGGGTTGTCGTTAGGCGCTGACAGCCGGCGAATTGAAAGAGGCAGTCGCCGGCTGAATTTTCGCTGGTAATCGCTCGACAGACGAGTCTTGATTTTTTTTACAGTTTAAGTGAAAAAAAAAAATACCTTGCCGTTTGAAAACAAAAAGTTGAAATTAAATACTGAACTACATCTAAGCTACAGAATTATTAAAGGTGAAATGAAGTGTTGCTTTGAGTTCACTGGTCTTCAATGATTTGTAGTGTCTCTCTCTGTTTCGGATCGCGATTTTGTAAACTCAAAGCTTGGTAGAGTTGGTAGTCTCGCAGACAAGATATTGCAAACGACTGGTCACAGCCTGCTGAATGGCTTCCTCAACCGCCAAGCCATTTTCTTAGCTATGCCACTGTATAACTAGACACTTTTTGTCTCCTTGCAACGTGTTTTATCGATACTTTTTTTTTTCATTATATGCATGTGTTTCCCACTCTTAGCGCTTGTCCACTTCTGTCCTATGAACCCTAACAACCAGGATGCAATTCGATGAGGTTCCCACTTTGAGCAGTAAATTGTGTTTATCTGTTACTAAAAGAATGATCTTCTCAGGAAAAAACAATCGTCAATACGAGAGAAGTGAGGTCTTTGTTTTCATGCTTTTTTGTTGTTGTTGTTTAAGGTAATGATCTATGTGTTTGTTATAGGAATTAGTTCATTCATTTCAAACCGACACACAAGTACGAGTTGCAGCCCTGTCCATCGAAGCAGCTTCTTTTGTGAGTATGAAAATTGATCTGATTTTTTCCCGATTGGTTTCCCAGAAGGGCACGGAATTTGGTGAGGGATAATGGAAGCTATGGAAGGTCATAGGAAATAATTTTTTTGGAGAACAGCACAGCAAGAGCTGAATGTGCCGTCAAACGTTGTTCTAAAGGGTGCGAAGCCTGCATTATCCATCTCCTGAACAACGGCCTCCTTTAAGATTTATTTTGTATTTGTATTCTTTTTTTCTTTTTTTTTGTTTTTTTTTGTTTTGCTTTGTTTGTTTGTTTGTTTTTTGTCATCATTATCACTATCAAGTGGTTTTCATAATTTCTTTTTTTATTTCTATTCCTCAGGGACTCACTCTCACTGCAGCCCATCATGTAGTGTTCGCGGAGCTTCATCACACTCCAGGTGTTATTATACAGGCTGAGGACAGAGCTCACAGGATAGGGCAGACACTACCGGTTAACATTCATTACTTGATTGCCAAAGGGACTGTGGATGAGATACTGTGGTCGCTTATCAGACGCAAGGTACGTTTTGTGCTGCATTCAGAAGACAAATTTCCATTTAATAGCGTGAAAAAGGTGACTCTCGCTGCAGGGTTGCGTTGTTCATTGAGGTAAATGACGTTTAGCCAACAATTTTTTATTCATATTTGTAACTTTGCAGGCAGTTTTAACTGTCTCGATTTTTTTCTTCAGTCTCATATTACGCTTAAGGTAAAACCCCCCAAAACGTAAGCCCTAACAGCCTTTCGAACAGTCGGACAAAGAAGATTGCGAGGTTTGTCTCACTAAAAGGTGATAAAATAGAAAAATCCCGCCATCATTTCAACCGACGTTATTCGGCAAAACCCAAAATAAAACTCAGCTCGGTTACTTGTGTTTTTCCTCCTTTTGCAGGTCTACGTTACTACTACCACCTTGGATGGGAAATGTAAAGATCTTGAGACAGAGGATGCAGATGAAGATCTGGGTCGGAAGTTGTCAGCATGTGCTGCATGGATCCAAGAACAAGAGGAAGGTGCTGAGGACCTGGAAGATTTCGTAATTGAGCAGGTACAAGTACAGCCTAGCACAGCGATGAAGACTCAAATTGACTGTAGTGATTGGCTTAGTTACATTGACTGACAGGCATTGGCCATGAAAAAAGCCCCGCTGTTGTTAGCCTTTTTGCTCGTCGGTTTGCTGAACTTGTCTTTAATGAAACCTAAAATCCAAAAAAAAGCCCTTACTCTAAGCTACAAATTTATGAAGCCAAGAGCCTTGAACGAGATCGAAATTGGGGAGTAATTTACCAAAAGGTGTCAAAAAGTCGTAGTCCTTCCTTTAGTTAAACGCCCTAACGGTTAAAATATTACGTCTTCCTTTGTGGTACTGTATGATAGAGTGAACATGTGCTGTTACTCTGATTTGTAGTCTGACTATGGTTCAAATGCACTGTTCGTCTTGTAATCAAAAGCGAATATTATATTTGATCTGCAATTTCTTTTCTTCTTTGGAGTGTTTCTGTTTTCGATATTTGCATGCACTTGTTTGAACTTGCAGCAAGATTGTTCTATCTTTGCAGCTTACATCAAAAGCTGGCAAAAAGGATCAAGGGCAGAGAGATCTTCGTTCTTTTTTTGTCGCAACACCAGTTTCATCAAAGTCAACTTCCTTCGAAAACAGCGCTTGTAGTCACTATACGACGGTCCCTATAGACAAAAATGCAAAACTGGGTGTGACCAGGAAAACAGCGGGGGATCCAATATATGTGCTGGACAAAGAAGAAGACGGTTTATCGACTTGGGATGGTTTGAAGAATGATGCTCCTATTTCGGCAGGTGCATATTCTACCTCGTACTGAATGTGGTGTTGTAGTTGTAGTGGTGGTGAGGGAACATCCGACGTCTCTTCCTATTGATGCTTGTTCTCTGAGATTAGATTGCCTTATATATATATTTTTTTCATTCTTCATTAGTGCCTGATTTTGTGCAAATCCCCGAGGAAAAACCTCTCAAGAAAGACACTAAGTCTTGCGCAGAAAGTCGCGAAAACTGCGAAAATCTTAGAACTGACTTCAAACCTGGTAAAGAAGCATTAAAGGAAAAAGGATGTCCACTTAAGCTAAAAACATTAAAGTTCAAGAAAGGGAGACATGGCAAGCTATCATTTGCGGAAGGCAAAACAAACACAAAACAGTGTCAACAAAAAACCAACTGCAATAGTCTTCTGAATTCTTTCGGAAATGATCCTGAGACGGAATCACAGACACTGCGAGGCTATCTTGATAATGAAGATGAACCTGAAATTACAAATTTAGAAGATTCACAAAATATTAGAGAGAAGTATGATTGCTTGGGTGGAGGTTTGAAGGCAAGAGACCGAGAATTTTTTACCTATTTACAAGAAGCTGATATAGAGTGTGTAGAAGTGGTCTGTAAACGGACATCAAGACTGTTACAGGACCGTCAAGGTGGCTTCAATGACAGTACTACCGAAAGAATGAAACACAAAATAGGACGTACAGTTAATGATTCGCAAAATTCATTTGTAACAAGTCAAGGTTCCAAAGGAGGATCTCCTTCAAGAGATTCTGGCGAACTTGACATGTTAGATCCACCCAAGGGAACGTCAGATGTAGTCAACGGGGACACTGATGGCTTGCGCGATAAAATTGGAAAGTTACAAAATAGGCAAGTAACAGACTCTTGCACAAATTCCTGTGGTCTTTATGTAGAGGAAATTGGGAATAAATCTGACATAGATTCTGCTGAGAAAAGGAAGATGCCTTCTCCCTCTGATCAAGGAAGACAAAGTCTTGAAAACGGTTCTTCCTATTTTAACATTGTTTCTTTAGAAGATGGAGCTACTGCAATTGAAGGTGTTTTGTGCGAGAGGAGTAACAACCTACGATATGGAACTAGACTGAACCAACCTTCAAAAGAGAGCCTAAGACGTGCAAGAGGCGATGTTTTCAATCCCCCAGAGAATTCATCACGAGATCATGAAAATAAGGAATGTTTGCCGATTAAAGAGGATGAAAATGCCAGTATCACTGCAGTGCCTTATGATGACGATTCATCAGATGATTTCCAAGATATCGAATTTAAAAATACTCAAGTTGCCAATCTACTGGTCGCACAGAGGCCCACCAAAAAGCGGAAGGCCACTAACAAATCGAAACAAAAGACTGCAAACCGAGGAGCCAAGACTTGTAACAAGGATAAGCAACCGCCTGCCGATTGGCCCTGTGGTGCATGTACTTTTATTAATGATGGGCAGCTTTTGGAGTGTTCCATCTGCTTCACACCTCGTGCAAATATTGACGAGACCACGAGCACTGTCGACAATGAAGATCTATGCATCAAAAGTATCGGTGGACAAGGTTATGATGACGTTTGTATTTCAGATAAAATGGACCAATATGAAGCTGGAGTAGACTGTACAGATACCAGTTCTACCAGTGTAGATCGTGGCAGGACCAATGGAGTAGTGAAACATGAGTCATCGCAGATTTCTTTTGGCTCTGCCCAAATGACGTTTCCTATCAGCACTGGGCAGACTGAAGAACCACATGCTTCTGAAAAGACTATTGTCCATAACTTGTCGAGTGAGTGGATGATAACACTGCCAAATGATTCAAGGACTGACAGCAAATCTTCTATCCGTGGTGCTAATTTAGCTGTTCGCGATAGTGCTTCTAGTCATGTTGCTGCTCCTGGTTTACCTCCTTGGTCGTGCTCGGCTTGCACCTTTTTGAACTTGTTTGAAATGATTGAATGTTCAGTATGTCTGACTCCAAAACGGCGAAGCCGGAGGGTGAGTGCAAAAAAGAATCTACTTACAGTGGAAACTGGAAAGGAGGTCAATGCGTGCGAGATGACTCTAAGTGGCAAGAGGCGACGGAAAGGAAATAAGAATGTAAAAGACCATAATCCACAGGACATGGATGTAGAAGCAGGTACGGAGGCACGCTCAGCTCGTTTGGAGGAATGTATCAACAACACAACAGCTCAACGTGATCGTGACATTTCATTGGCGGGAGATGAAGGCTTGACACCAGAACCATTGGGATCATCCCCTGTAACAGATAGTAGCAGTCACACGCAGTATGGCCATGAAATCTTTAGAGAAGAGATTCCTGGAGAGGTCACCTCTAACCCTCGAAAGCGACTTAAGCTGGATGAGGTCGAAGGAGAAAGTAGCATCCGTGTTGTTTCATATGATTCAGAAATTGTGTGCAGTAACAGCACTATAAAGTGTTCGTATGCAATGTCCTCTCCTGTATCTTCATACGAGCTAATGGCTGCCACACCCCCCGACGATAAAGGCGTAGATGTAGTTCGTCCACTCAACTGTGTTCTTTCCTCAGATGAAGAAGAACTAGAACTTAGAAACGATCATAAATCAAGGAACTGTAAAATTGAAAATAGTGATTTGGAAATGGACTGCGAACAACTTGACGTTTCAGATCATTCAGTGACTGAACAGTGCAGTGGAGTTTCTTCGACAGTTTCCTCTTATGGGAAGAGGGGTGGCCATTTGCCATCTTCCCAAAAGTCGGAAATTATCAAGGTCATGGAGGAACTTGAAGAGCTGAAGGCTGCAGCAGAAGAACTGTTTAATTCAGAATGGGAAGACGACGAGCGTTGGTGGGAAGAAGAGAGTTCCTTTGGAGAAAGTTCATTTGCCTCTAGTAGTGAAACAGTGTCAAGTAGTCCAACAGTTACAAGGCCAGGATTTACAAAGTGCTCCGAACTGTGTTCAGTCACAGAGCTTAAAAAGAAGCTTGAAGCAGATACTAAACAACTAAATGATACCCGGCGGCCCAAGACTGTTCATAAACCTCAATCTGCTAAGGGTATCCCTGAAAGTAAGGAAGCCACGCCACTAGCAAATGATCATACTTTAAGACCTGAGTTGGATCCAGGGGGGGAAGAGGAGAAAGAAGATGAAGAAGACGCCCCCCCTGAAGCGATGAAGTTGAAATTCTGTTTAAGTCGTTACACAGAACGGTTATATTTGTACTCCCAGGTTAGTCATTTATCGGTTTCTTTTTTTCTTCCTACTCTCCTTGTAACTAATACAGTGTCAGGATGATTTTTTCTACAGAGCTTCAGATAAAAGTTACGTCCAACCAGAAAAGGCAATAAGTGTGTGATTAGTAAGATTTTCTTCGATGCTTAAGGGTTACTCAAAATATGATTATCGCAAGATACAACAGCTTCTTTAAATTCTGAAGGACGGGAGCAGTGGTAGTTTTGTAGGAAGAGCGCAAAGAAAAACAAACAAACAACTCGAACTTGAAGAATACAAAAGTAGAGGTTTTGTTCATCTTTATCATTGTGCTGTTTGGTTTTCTGCATAGGATGGCCTTCCTCTTGGAATTAATTTTTGCATGTCTGATGTTAAGAACTGCAACATGGAAGATTTACCCGCCATTCTTCTTCATGAAGAAAATTTAACGCAAATTAAAAGATTCCTTGAAAAATGGAGGAGGTAAGTAAGGCTTGACTATTGATCACCAATTGTAGTTCGATTGCTTCAGTATAGCTTTGCAATAGTTACTGAATCAACCTGGATCGTGCGTATACAAGTATAGTGATTTGATCTAGACAAAGAGAATTGCGATATGAATGTTCTAGCAGGCTCATTATGAGTTTGTAAAATATTCAAGGTTGAAAAAGATTACATTTGTGGTCAGCACAAAATACAACACACTTTTCGTTGTATCTTTTTTTTTTTTCTAGGGTGGGAGAGGGGAAGAAACGAATACTCCGAAAATCAGGACTTGTGTTTGATGATCCTTTGGAAGCTTACGAGTGTGCAAGAAAGGTAACTGTGGGTTTGTTTTTCATGAAATCGTTAAACATTTGCACAAAATTTTCTCTCCCTAGTTTATTTCGTTCTCGTGATCGGAAATACACTAACTACACCCGGCAATGCGGGAAAATACTCGGAGGAGATGGTGGGTAAACGGTTGTATCCTTAAAAGGAAGACGCCTTTTGGCCGCCTTTAGTGGGTACAATGATGTTGTTGTCGTTGTTGGTGGTAATAGTAGTGCTACTGTTGTTCTTTTTACTATTCAGTGCGCAGACGCCCTTTGAAATTACTGATAATTTTGAAACCTTGAGCGAGGGCCGCCTTTTCAATAAGAATTTCTTTACTTAATCCTTCCCCTGTTATGAGAATTGTATTTATTTACATTGAAATGAAGAACGTTTCAGTTAAAGTACTTTATTTTTGGTTTCGTTAGGGTATGTCCAGGACATCCAGCTATGTTCGACACCCTTCAAAGGTAAGGGACATATTTTTTTCAGTTCTTTTCCTTATTTTGTTAACGGTTATTTTGGCGTTGATGTTGATTTCTGATCAGTAGAGATTTGCTGAAGCAAAGGCATATAAAAAACCAGGAAAGATTTATTGCTGCCCGATGTTTCGGAATCATCATGATTCCATTATCAAGAGACTAGTTAACTAGCATGCAACTAAGGAAAGGTATGAGATAAGTATAAATTACAATAAACGGCCTAAACAAACACCTTGGCGCGGATGGAATCTGTTTGCACGTTCAGTGTTGGTTTACGCATGCGAATGTATAACATTCTTTAACGAGGCAATCAAATTTGCCGCTACATTTCGTGATGATGGGAAATTGCTCAATGAAGCGTTCAGGCATTTCACTTTTGTGTTGGAGGTTATAATGTTTGTAAATCGAAGATGACTTTCTAGTGTGCCCTTCTACGCGCTCATGTAAGTGACCACGTGTATAACCCACATACACTGCATCGCACAGGTTACATTTCAATCCATAGACGAGACATTGTAGGTTGACAATAGGGGGCTTAATCTCGTGTCGCTTAAGTTGTTGCTCGAGCTTAGGGCTTACAAACACTGGTTGGACAGTTTAGCAGTGTTGTCGATGCTATTAGGATTTCTGTTGTTTCAGTTACAACACAAAAGTGTTTAGTGTTTTTTTATTTTTTTTTTCCATTCTCTGATTATTTCTTTGTACTTTTCTCTTCCTTTACTTGCAACCTCGCAGGAAACGCAGATTCAGGCTGTTCACAATACCGCAGAAGAAGTCGGAGGAAAGGTTCGGGTGGTAAAGAAACCCCAAGTTGTAGAAAACAAAAGGAAGAAAACCGATCACGCTAAGAACAAAACAGATGGTGCAGAGGAGGCCGAGTGCCCAGTACCTACCAGCCGCACACAAGTATGTGCCTCAAACAGAATCTCCGAGGATAAGACCTACACGTATCACCAGGCCGTGACGGCTGATGGGATACCACTATGTTTGTCCTGTAAGGGCCCAGTGGAGTTCGTAGAGACACTGAGGTGTTCAGATTGGGATACCAGATTCTGTTCGCATGACTGCAAACAGGAATATCAGGTGATTGTCAATTTTTAAGGAACTTGTTTCCGCGATTTGCGCCAGTTTTTGTCAGTTGAGTTGAACATCGATGAAGCGGTGATGCCAGTTTGCGAAATTTGTTAGAAACCAAGAGAAAATGAGGGAACAGATGGGAATGTCTGAAAAGTATTTTCGAATTCTTTGTCACTGTGAATTGTTTCTCAAGAACTACCTTGAGTTTTCCCTTCCCCTTCGGTATGGTTTTTATAGATAAGTCATTCGCCACATTCCTGTTGATAATCCAAACAACGGTTCAAGTACAACATTCATGCAGATGTCTTTGAAAACAAACAACAAACCGCGACAAAATTTGTCGTCACATGAAATTCGCACAGTCTCCACTGAGGATGTTTTGGAAGAAGAAGTGAAATGTAAGATGAAAAGTATTTCGCTACAATATTTCCTCTCCCTATTCCATGTTGTGGAATCACAGGAAACAAAATGCAGCATTGTTCAGGTGGTAGAGGAAGCGATCTCAAGGATGATATGTCTAATTTTTTTCGCTGGTTTAATTTTTAAAAGAGTTGCTTTTAATTTAGGTACGTGGAAGTGGTACGACGGCAAGGAGAGCTTTGTTTGAAGCAGAAAGAGGAATTTGCCAGCTGTGTTCAATGGACGCCCACAACTTGTACCAAAATGTCGTCGCGTTACCTGTCAGAGATCGGCCAAAATTCTTGGCTCAGACTCCATACTCAGCTTTGCCAAATCAAACTTTGAAGAAAATGATAATGGAGCCAAAGGAGGGAATGGTAAGCTGGATGTTTGATTATCGCTTGTTGTTTTAGGTATTAGTCTCTTAATTGCCTAAGTTTTGATTGAGTTGTCCAAAAAACTCTTTGTTGTCAATGCGCAAGAAAAGCGACCCCTTCGCCACTCCCTCCTCAGTGACCAAACAAAACTCGTCCGGCTGTCACGCATGGCTGTCACGCATGGCTGTCATACACGACTGTTACACGCGATTGCTGTGCCCTCATTTAGATGTGTCAAGTAAGACTAAACCCTCCGCAATTTAATTTTTTTTTTTTTTAATGACTACTCTAGTTCTGGGAAGCGGACCACATCACACCTGTGTCAGAGGGAGGCGGTGAATGTGGATTAGATAACCTAAGGACCCTGTGCGTCATATGCCACAGGAAGGCTACTACTGAATTAAACAAAAGACTAAAACAACGGAGGGTGCTAGAGCAGGTTGCTGGCTATGCTGATATATCAACGTTCTTTCATCCACTTACCTGAGGAGGGACATCATATAATTCTAAGCCAGATAGCAAAGTGCTATAGAGGTGAACGGCAAAGGTGTGTCGCACAGAATAAACAGGCCTTATATTAGATTTATTTTCAGTTTTGTTTCAAACTTTAAACATCTGTCCTCTATGTTGTAACTTCCTCTCTGAAGAAGAGACCAAATATGTTCCTTTTGTGTATCTCGATATTTGGAAAACAAGCTAATAAGGAAATATACCGGGGGCAAACCCGTATTCAACTTAGCAAACAAAATACTTTTCAGAGGCTGCATTTCAAACAATCGAGACTCAGCAAATTTGATTGCTCAAGACTTGTGTGTAATTGTGTTGGGTTACGTTTAATTTCATACGGGAAAAAGATCAGGTGTGATACTTTAACTGAGGGAAAACAACCTCAAAGTAATAAATAACAAAACCATTTTTTTGTGTTTTTATTGAAAGTTTTGTTATCATTTTGGCACGAAACAGTAAAATATATATAGCGAGATACTAAAGAAAAAATTTTTTACGAAATAATATTGAATGGTGATTTTCACCAAATTATCAGATGCTAAAGTGGCTGTGATAACCTCAAAATAATCAGTAACAACATTTTTGTTTGTTTTTTTTTTTAATTGAAATTTGTTTTATCATTTTTGACACGAGATAATAAAATTATATTTTTTATTTAATTATTAAAGACATTGTAACACATTTTTTTTCGATATTCAAACATTTGATCATAATTTTTGTTATAATTTTTTGTGATTATGGTGAATAAAGGATTATTTTCATTTAACTTAAAGAAAACTGTTTTCACGAAATAGTATTGAATGATGCTGTTACAAAATTATATGAAATTAAAGTTGCTGTAAAAGAAAATATAATATGACACAAATTTACCTACCAGATAGGGATGATTTAACGTGGAATGATGTATAATAAAGGAAAATAAGTGAAATTGTTTTTGCTACTGTCATTTATTTATTTATTTATTGGTTAGCCTCGATCGAGAATTACTCTTTTTTAACGTACTTGTGAACACAAACGTGGACATTTCTACGGTAAGAAAGCACGTATAGCTTAACTTATAACTTGATGTTTTCCAACTTTCTCTTCGTCACACCAAGAGTTATAACGCAACACGTCCTTGCGCGTGACAAAGGAACAACGTTCTACTACATGTAAGATATACTTCTACCGAATGACGGTCGAATTGTAGATCCAGGTATCGAATGTCGGAAAGAAGTTTCCTTCAGCTTGTCGGTGTTTCCTTCCAACCCATCGAGCAAACTCTCGCTCTTGATACGTTGGATTGTGGCTCTCAGTTGAATGAACTGCCTTGTGAGGTACTTATCCTGATGCCGCATATCAGCCTGTTAAGACACAGTGGAATTTAGGTTAGACTTATGAGCCTAGTCCCCCACTTCCACTTTGGCGAGTTCGCCCCTGCAGTAAAACAATAGTCTGAACACGACCCCGAACCGAATGTCTCCTTCTGTCGGAGCTCACCCGGTTTCCGTAGCATCAAGCAACCGGGATTGTTGTTAATCCCCCACCCCTGGATTAGATGATGCCGGCTCATGGCAGGTTACAGCCAGCATGTAGTCTACTTTACCCTTTACTAACAGTTCAGAACTAGCCATAAGTATTCCTGGGTAGGGAGGGGCACCGAGAGAGCAAAGTTTCAGGCCAAAAAGTGAAGTGCAACGATGTGATCAGGCCTCGAACCCGGACCTTCCATCCCCGGCGTCCTGCTTAGGTCGTGCTCAATGTTTTCATGTAGAAGTGGCAATAGCTGCTGCTCGGTATTTGCGCAAAATTCCGTATTTGTTGAAACATTAGACACCTCGATATACCTCTTAATTCAGCTGAAGTGACACCTCTCGATATTTGCTTGTTTTCATTGAAAAGTAATAACCGTTACAAAAAAAAATTAGATTTCGTTTGCATTTTTTCATGATGTACTTTGATAATGCCAGCCTCATTATACCATCTATGCCCCTCCCAGCTCCAATCCTATTCTTAGGTCCGAAATTTTCCAAACCCAGAACGTTTTCATACAACACTTATCATGAACTTGGCGAAGTGAGATTGAGCGACAGATTGAACTGAAGGTCAATTAGTTTGAGTGTACAAGATACCGTGTTGCTAGTGTGTTTTCCTAAGGAGGTATTCCGACAGCATTTAATTAGCAGTGCTTGATTCGCTAAGAGGATTACGTGATTACGTTATTAAGCTTACCAGCTCTTGTAATAAATCAAATTTTGTCGAACTTTCATTTTCATAATTAGCATGTTTTCGCTGTGAATAACATAACTCTGTCGTTAATTTACACAACTGACGTCTACCGATATTGCACTATTATTCTTTCTGTTTCTACAGACAGACACGGTATTGTCCATGGTTATTGATCATTAATTACTTTTATCGTCATAAGAAAAAAAAATCACCATTATGTCGACTAGTCATGTCTTTCATCTCAATGTTTTTTCAAAACGTAAAAATTATTGCAACAGATTTTGTTCCTCGTTGCGCTTGTATAATATAAGAGTTGCTTTGTTTTTGTTTCGTTGACTTCTTGATCAAGTGATTGGTCTCGGGTATTACAGTACTTCTAAATTATCAGCCGAGTATTTCCACCTTTTTCTAGACAGGTGAAGAAATTTAAAACATAAATTCTAAATTTTTTAGGCCAGGAGATATTTTCCAAGTCTTTCTACGATGTTGATCTGTGTCAAGGCCTTATCTGTGACTATTGTTACATCAAGCATGTCACGGATCGGAAACGATGAAGACTTTCGCGACATTGTAATCAAAACTGCAGAAACATAAACAGCCCCTCGAGGGAAAATAAAAGAGTAAAAAGTTTCGACCTGCCTGATGTAAAAATATACGAGTTTTATCTAAAGCATCTTTATAATTCGAGATTTTACAATTATTTCAAAGAAATACCACATCCACTTCAGCTTCACGTTACCTGATCCGCTAAACAAAATATATTTCCAACACAATTTTCGTAATCTTTAGACGAATTTTTTTAACCTACCAATTCCTTTCGGATCCACAAAATCGCTGCTTCTAGACGAGACTCTCTTTCCTCGCTTGTCCCTTCAGAATTAATAACAGGAACAGAATCCGCTTTTGGCATTTCTATTTCTACTTCATTCGACGATCCCGATTTCAAAATATTCCATGTGTATACTTTCATATACGGAAAAGAATGGCGTTTGGCAAACTGAAGTCGTTCTTCGTCCATCTCTGTGTATGTTACCCAAAAAGGCTAGGTGTTCTCCGCTAAAAGTTGATGAATTTAGAAATACTATCGTGGAGAACTTTGTTTTTTTTTTTTGCTTGGAGTTGTCAAGTGAAGAAAAAGATTAGGTCCATAAGAGGCTTTGAACGAGCACGTTCCTCACGCCGCTATTGTTTATATTCAAGACACTGGTGGTTAACATTTGCATATGGAAAGCAAAACATACTAGGCGATAGGTACTGTGCTTGACATCTGTCGCAAGATTATAATCTTTTCATTACCCAAAAGGGAGGCCATTGTGTTCATGGACTGTCTGAATTACGAATGAATACTACTCGAAAAAACCTTGTGAAGGAATATAATCAGTTGCTCCTAGATAATAAGTTGAGACTCACAGAAACCGAATTCACAGGTTTTAAAAATCATTTATTTATAACAGTGAAGTACAATACAATGTAGTTACTTCGCATCACCTGTCGTACATTGATTGAAGACTTGAAAACGAGTGCGGTTTTGAACTGCTTTCCATTAAGGCCTGATACACTTATGCATTCGTTGATTTTGGGATGCCAATTGAATTTGGTAAAACACGCTGAGCCCATGCGGCACTTCGGTGCAAAAGAAAAAAGATGGAATCAGTTATACCCGCGCTAGTTCTATTATTTTTCCATTTCTTAATTGATAAAATTCCAGCAAAAAAAAAAAATAAAAAAAATAAAAAAATGGTACCCTCCACATTTTGATTTAAGTGAAAAAACACTCCACTCATTTACGTCAAAATTACCTCGACCCTTGTTAATTTGGCGGATTTGATTCATCGCGTTCTGACAATTCTCACATTCTACTTCACTTGTGGCTCTGAACTACTTGAGCAAATTTTCTTTTCAGTTCTCTTGGGGACATTTAATCAGTCCTGCTGTCCTGTTTGCTTTTGTCTTCTTATTTGTTTGAGTTTTTCGGTTGGGAGTTTTTGTTATGTTTGTTTCTTTGTTTTGCTCCTTGGAGCTTTTCCTTCTTACCCAGTCTACTTCGCGGACGGGTGCACTGGTGCGCTACTTACTCACGTTCTCCTCTTGGCGGCCGCTAAGCCATCTCTCTCTCTTGTGACGGTTTGCCCCTCTGTTGATTTGTTCTCGATGTTTCCGCCTTTGCCAACCAAATATCTATCTTCTTTTCTCTCTTTCTTAAACACTTCTGCACTCTCTCTGGCTGTCTCTTTCTCTCTCTCTCTCTCTCTCTCTCTCTCTCTCTCTCTCTCTTTCTCTCTAGTCTCTCAGACTTCTGAGGTTCCTCCACTCACATCATCAAAATGACAAAATACTATTATTACTCAGCTTCTTAAAGTTAATATTTTAACGATTGCCGTAGTGATAAGAATTCAAAACATTTATTGCTTTTTCAAGCACCCAATAATTACGAAAACCACAAAATAATGGTTTCCTAAAATAGCAGGAACTAAAACGGTAATTAGCATATGATATCATGAAGGAGACTACAGTTCTTGTTCTTCGCTTGGCCATCGTCCTTTGTTGCTGTGTGCATGGCAGCTGATATGCCATGATTCCTAGAGTTTCTCCCTCAAACCTAGAAAATGAATGGCTCTATTGATTTTACTACCGCAAACAAGACTACCGAAATTCGTCAAGTCTCAACTTTTGGTCTTACTACGTTCCTTATCACAGCGATTTTTCTTCTACCGGCTGGTATCGTTGGGAACGTAATGGTCATTTTAGTGGTGAGAAAGAAACGATATCTTCGAACCAAAACGAACTTTTTACTTGCAAACTTGGCGACGTGTGACTTGGTGTCAAATGTTCTTGGATACACATGGGGAATAGCGAGAGCTTTTCCCATTCCAAAGATTACACTTGGTGTCATAATTTGCAAGATTAACTCATTCTATCCTGCTGCATCTGGGTGTTCTGTACTAATACTGACTATCATCGCTCTGGAACGCTATGGCGCCATTGTGAAACCTCTCAACAGTCGACGCAAGTTGAAAAAGCGGACCCTTCGCTATTTCATCATAGCCATTTGGATCTTTACCATAGCCGCAGTGATTCCTTTGGTTTACTTTTCTGACTACAATGTTAGCTCGACTTACGAATGTGAAAGAACTTGGAGTATAACTGCCAAAACTACATTCTGGACAACTGCGTTTACGATTTTCATTGTTGTGCCTCTTCTAGTTATGTTATTCTGCTATGCTCATATTATACGTGCGCTGTATTTCGGAGCTAGGATTGTGCCGATGAATATCCCAGCTGAAGTCGATGCCAGGGAGAAGAAAAGGGTGATAAAAATGTCCATTATAGTGACTGTTGTGTTCATTGTAGCCTTCACACCGTTTGTAGTTGTGAAAGAACTTGAGATGCGAATTCCTTTATCGAACGGAGTCAAAGTGTTATCTCTCTTATCTGTACTGCTCTCTTCTATCTTAAATCCATTCATTTATGCTTTCCAAAGCTCTAACTACCGCCATGCCTTCAAAGAGATCATATGTGTATTACAAAGATAGTTGTCTGAAATGTTATAGACTCAGTGAAATGTTATTTTGTCAGAAGTTTCAGATTATATTTTGATATCTGTATTAGCACTACGATGAAAAGTGAATGAAATTATAGATTTATAAAAAAGATAATTAAGAGCCATTTACTCGAGTATAAATGCCAGCTCTTCAAAGCGCAAAACAAAAAATTAGAAAAAAAAAAAAACTGGGGAACAAATTGATTTAAATTATTTCAGTTCATTTAGGATATAGTAAAGCCAATATTCTTAAGTCGTGACTCGGCAACAAGCAAAATGTCGCCCACTTCCTACTCGCGTAATATTTTTAATTGCAAAGAAAGAATATATTTTATATGATGAGATATTGGTACCATACGAAAACGTCAATAATATCTACCGAGCAGTTATTTATTTCCAAAGTCAAGAAAAGTAATAAGGTAAATCGATAAATCGTCTGTCTTACGAAACAGGGTCATTTCCGATTGCGACGGCTGTCATCCTGTTCCTTTTTCGTCGGACGATCCACGTTTAAGAGTGAGTCTATATCGTGAGACAAACGTAGATGTTTTTATTTATTATTATGACACAATGAGTGACTAGAATGATCACCACTCCCAAGTACACGATTTTTTTGAATACTTCAAGTTTTGGTGCTGACGAGTAGAATGTTGGGCTCATTTTGACACAGAGATGAATGAACTGTTATGAATCAGGTAGATTTTGATGACTGCAGAATGTAGCGCTAACTTCAAAGGTGGCTAAGTGTGGGGTAATCACTTAATCGAGACCTAAAAATAAGAAAAAGAACAAAATAATTGGGTTGATGCACCTCTAAATTTATTTTCGTAACCAATACACAGTATTAAAGTCTAACTTCTCTAAAAAGGACACCAAAGGGGACATAGCGAAGTGTTTGTATTAAAGAAATGTTCATGTTATAGAGAATGACTTCACGCCTTCGATTTTTTAGCGACCATGGTATTTTTACCTACAGACTATATGATTGCTGTATTTGGTATTGGCTCTCAGTTTATCCTGTTACCGTTGTTATTAATTTTCTTAAGATCGGTGGGGTAGCCATGCATTTGTCTACTTAACAAATACATTTCATGTTGCCGTGTACCTGTTCATTCATCAAATACTTTTGCTCACGTACGATTGGTCTAAACGCATCACTTGATCGAATTATGCCGCTACATTTTTAACTGGGAAATATCCGGTGATATTCCCCATGTGATATTCCAAAATTTTCAAACCTTAAGTCCATCACGATTAAAGTCTTCGTTTCAAATTTGATACAAGGTGAGAGAGTGTTTTGCTGTTGCCACATGTAATCATACCGAAGAAAGGACATATTTGTATTTTCATGAATCGTGCCATAAATTTGTTAACTGAAAAGAGAACAACCCACGCATGTTTGAAGGATAATAAACACTATAGTCTCCATTCTGCGGGAGAATATGTACCCTTGAACATTAGCTGCTCCTCGAAGCTCGCAGTTTTCCTCGAGCTTCGCACGCGGTGAACTATTCATTTATCGGGCCAGATAATGGCCGCGGACAAAACTCCAAGAATATTTTTAGGCTAAATGGAGACGATTGTTTCTATAGATCTCGGCAGATGATGCCTAAATGTGGTAGGAACAAAATGGTGGCTGACACGAGGGTGAGCCAAGTGGGTTACTGATATCTACAATTGTACAGACTCACAGCATCTTGGAACCTGTTTGTTTCATAGTTAAAACGCAAATTGTTGTTAATGGTGACGTCAACTCTGCGTCTGTTCTCCAACAGATCATAAGTAAGACTTAATCAAAATGCTTGTTTTTACTTCAGCTTCTCATATAAAACCTTATCATACCTTCTTCGGGATTGTGGTAGTAAAGGTGTGCAACCATGCGACCAACCCCCACCCCCCCCGAGTCTCTATGGAAACATTTTATTACTCCAACCTCCACGAAAAGAGATCCAAATTCCCCAAATGGCATCTGAGAATTTCAAAAAGCTTCTTCGATTGGGTTGCGAACGGAAAGGTCCAATCGTCGACTACTACTGATTACACCAGACTCGCAACGTGATCGCATGCATCAACTTTCAGTCAACACGATTTAACTGGACAGACAATCAAATTTGACCCCTTTGTTCCCTACGCAAACTGACGATTTGCCACAATTTGAACAGAATTAGGGCCTCCTCATTAGAAATCTCTCTCCTAGAGAAAACATCTTTTTGCGGCCAATTGTCAAAGCTTAACCTTTGACAATTGGCCGCCAAAGCCCAGCTGCGTGCAAAGATTCTAGCGACAAATTTACCGTCTTACAATTCTTGCCTAATCTGTAATTAATGCGGAAACACATCCGGACCGGCAGTGAAACTTTAGAGTTTTCTCGATGAAAATCGCTTTGTTATTATTATTTTAAATTTAAAACCCACTCGGCTGAAAGGTTTTACTGTTTTCTTAAGCTTCCTGAAATTTTTGGCTGGGTATAAGATATATGATCACCAGAAATTGAATTCCGTTCAACGAATCGACTTTCTCCCGTGTATGTATGAAAAAAAATTGTATACTCGGTGATCGATACGAAGCCAAAAATCTCCAAGCGATTATTTTCCATCAAAAAAATCCCAATCGTAAAATCCATAGCCATGAAAAAGTAGGCAATTCAGTGTTTTTACATAGATTTTTGAACTAAAAGCCAAAAGATGCTTTGAGTTCTTTAAATGAATGAAACAAAATATGGTATCGCGCAGGAGTCCCATTACTAAGTAATGGGCTCCTGTTGCGCGTGATTAGCAGATTCAGTTAACAGAGGGAAACACATCTTGGGAGCGTTTTTTCACTTTGCTGATAGGCCAAGATACTGAATTTTGCGGCAAAATAACGTCCAAATACGTTGAATGTTGTTGGATTTGCATTTATGCTCACCGTGATTCTGAAAGGAGAGAACTCAGACGGTGTTAACTGAATTAGGACGAGGATCTCTTGTTACCACCTAGTCCCACTTCCCCTCCCCTCCCCTCCCCCTACCGTGCGTATCTGAAACTGTTATTGTTGCCGGATTGTTGGGATGACGTTACTTCGTAGATATGAACTTCCGAAGAGAAACCTGAGCGTAAAATAACTCAACACTACACAATTGTGATAAGCGATGAGTGCGTGGTGATAAAATTTCCTCCTTTTCTGAGTACTTGGCATCGTTTCTCTTGTCACAAGGAACTCTCGTGAAACCCACAAGAGATCATCGATGACTTATTGACCGGCATATGTCAATCAATTAGCGTGACGGTTCCAAAACAAGTTTTGCAGGAAATTTATTTGATGATCGCCAACAGGATTTTACACTATATTGAACTTTTACCAGTATGAGTATCCTAGATTCCGATTTTCAAACACGTTTACGATCTGTACTTATAAATAAATAATACGCAACTTGTATTCACAGACTAGGTTCTCCACATGTCTTAGACCCGATGTAAATACAGGCCATGTATTTATCATTGATAAGGTTACGTTACCAAACATTCTATGCCTACGGGCGGTGAAATGAAAGCCAAAGTAACATGGCGAAACCTTGGGAAAAATGTTTTATTCTCCTGTTTTAGACCTAGGTATACTTAGTGGAACGTGTCTTTTGCCAGCTCTGATTACGAGACAACGAAACATGACATCGTGGTTTGTACTACATTTTGTCTCAAAAGACAATGGGAGCTCCTTTCGCCATATTTTATGACTCCACTTAAACGATCGTTCATGTAATATATGTCAAATTGGTAAAAACTTCACATCGAAGAAAACCTTTGTCTTCCTTTCTGTCCTAATTGAGTCGGCTCCTTGGCTTGCTGCCCTGGGCTTATGCCATTGTGCTTGCGTAGATCTTCTAACGCACCATATGAAAAACTGTTCGGCCGCAAGCAGTTGTCTTCGCCACCTCTGTAGACTTCGTCACAATAATTTTGGGTCAGGGATTTTGCGAGCCATGTTAGATATTTCATGCTCTCCATTACGGCTTTGATGTGCAAACGGAAGCATCCCTCAGCCGACGTGGGCTTTCCTGTCGTCAATTCTTCCTTGATATCTAGAAGCATGTGATAAGTTCCGAATAGCCCCGAGTCCTCCAATTCTTTTCCAGGCTTTACCATAGAATTATCAGTCGATGTCGAGCATTGGCACTTTCCAGATGGAAGCTCATTCTCCTCCGGGATGTCCACAAGTCGATGGGGCACCAATACTGTGTTATTCATCTCATCTATCGCTTTGAAGAATTCGTTAAGGATATCTGGTAGATTTTCACGGCTTGCCATTTTACACACTCACGAGAACTGCGCGATGGAACTTCAAGACAACTATGTTTTCGTTTGAGTGACGTTGACGTGACCTTGCTTAACTTTGTATGAAGTTAACCTTAAAACAAAACTAGTTTTCGCGATCATCGGCACACTTTTGCCAAATCAACCAATGATGACAAGGTATTGCTCCTTACACCAGGAATACCGTGACCTTCGCTGTCTCGAGTTACTTCTTTAAACACAGAATTTCTCTTCACCACTTTGAGTCTTAATTATTGTTCTGATTGGGAGAATTTGAATGAAACGCGATACGGATCTCTGTGGGTGTTGACGGTTGTCAGTTTGGCTACAGTTCAACGTGAACCAACACTACATGCTAGGCTTTGATAGTCCCATTCTATGCCATTTTGGATTTATATAAACTCACTATGGTCAAAATGAATGCTTACAGTCTCGACCTTCACACACGTGAGTTCAGAAATGTTCAGCGTAGAAATAGGTAATCTCACCTACTCGTAAGTTATCTCAGTATGTATCATGGTTTTATTACCCTCGCACAACACCCCTTTGGCTCAGTACACAGCAATTAAACGTTGCAACCGTCGGGGTTTCCTTGTTTAATTTGTGTCATTTACAACCACCTACGGTGGAATATAAGCTTCTCGAGATTTCTGTTTACTTCACAACCACTCGTCACGCAGTACTCGTCACGTTTGAACATGTTTTCACGTCAATCACGCAGTGCAAGGGCTATTCAACTCATTTTTCTCTACCACACCCCCAAATCCTCCTTCATCTCCACCTTTTCCTTGCCCCCACATTGTGCGCCGGTTATCCAAGAATTAAAAGCTCTTTTTTAGGTTAAAAGTTTCTATCCACTTAGCTGTCTAGACAATCACGACAGATCAGTTAGCCACCGTGCTAGATAATGTGTGTGAAAATCTTGGAAGTATAAGACAAAAATGCACTAATATTTTTGATATTTACCGCAAATCCGCTATGCCGGGTTCCGGTTTCTGATCCAGGGGGTTATGGTTTTACGTGAATGTGACTGTGCTAAAAGGAGGTAAAAAAACAAAGTCAATATAACTGACCCTACTAAGCAGAATTTCGACCTTCTTTTTTTCTTTGTCTTGGAACGATAACATTAATGCTAGCGTTGCTAATACATGCTTTGCTACTTGCTATGAGATCTTTTTTACGTTAAATGAATTGAACAAGACAGAAAATAAAAGGCAAAAGCGTTCTATACTTAAGGGAATTATTTTTAACGCACTTTTAAAAAAGAAGGTATAATATTAAATGTGACTATTCCACATTGGTAATCAACCAAGAGATTACACTAAGATTACGTTTTCCCAAATTAAATTTATTTTGTCGCCTCAAGTAGATTAAAGGTGCAAAAAGATCCTAACGGAAGGCTTACAGAGGTATTTCAATCTAGTTAACCCCAAAGTAATAGCCGGGAGGTCAGCTTTTTACCAAAGTATTTAGTTGCAAGTTCATAACAAACTATAAAACACGAATAAAGATAAGCGGGCATCTGGAGTCAAAGCCCCCGTCTAGATAGTGTCTTGTCAATTTAGGATGTTTTTCATTTCAATAAGATAACCATAGCTACTAACATTTGCCGTTCTTAAGCTAATAACTCTCTTCCATGAGGATTCGAACGCCAGACCATCTAATTTCACTGATACGATCGAAGGCCGCTGATGCTCGGTTCATTATCACGTAATAAACAACTCTCTTGTATATTCGTCTGCGCGTGGATATCACAGATAAGTGCAAAACTTACAACCGTAGCTATGAATATGATTATTTTAATACTCTTCGCGCTCATAAGACGAAAATATGAGCGAAATTGTTTCTATAATTGTATGCAGCCAGCCCCTAAACACTTTATAGTAGACATATTTTTATCTGCCATCTATACAGTTACTTGTTGACACTGCTGAGACCCAACTTTTGTCTGTTTGGGATAATACGACTGAGGCACGTGCATCTGTGATTTCTTCTGTATTTTCATCCTCTTACAACGATTTCCTTGATAGCAACAGCAACTATCAATACATGCAGACCTACTATCGTACCCTAAAAACGTAGAACCATGGTGTTTGGCTAAACGAAGCGTCATAACTATGCAATACATCATGCTTATTAACAGAAAGGGTGAAAACGCACTTTCCTGGTCTAAAATTAATTGACCAAAAGACGGAAACAGCCGAAGAAACCTTAATGATAGAACTGTATACGGTTGAATTGAAACCTGAACAAGAATCACTGCGTAGGTAAAACCTAAGGTCATCTTTTATATTCCCGATGTCTTCCGAAAGGAATGCCCAATGGAAGGCTCCATTGTGGATAACGAGCGGAGCCAACAGGCAGATAGCATGATAGCGTCTCTAGCAAGTGAACTATAATTAGCACTTTTTGTTTTTGTTGACGGATATAATTAACCTAAACAGCTCGAATGAATCAAAATAATTTCTCTCGATTACGTAAATTGGTGAAAAACATTAGCAATAACTCAACAACATAGCATTTTAAAAATCATCAAATGATTTGATCGATGCATGTCAGCTATTTTCACTCTCTTATGTTACCAGGACACTAGTATACCATTTATGGCAGAAGCTGCATTTTATAGCATGCATGAAATTTTGATCTTGATCGATTCAAATAACTAGACAGAGAAAAAGTTCGTTTGTTTTAACGCTTTCCCTGGATTAGAATTCTGTTAGCATTCAAGGCTGTTGTCACAGTTTTACTCCAGAAAAAAAGGTGTTAAATGAGTTATCATTTTGGACTCTCTTTGGTGAACGACAATCTTGGCCGTGTGGCAGCCATATTAAGGGCATTTAAAGCCATAACGAGATAAGCAATTGTACACAATCTCTGTCTTAAAACAGTGATGCGTCTAGGACAGTTATTTCCTCTTGGATCGTCCTTCTTCTTTTTTTTTTTTTGCAGCTCTTCTTGGCGAGTCATTTCTCTCTTTTCCCGTTCGGTGATGAACTTCTCTGTTGCCGCCATTACTGATTTCTCAAGATAGTGATGGGAGATAAGTGTTTTCGCTGCACAAGCTGCACCTCCAGCCTGCCGAAACATGACAATGCCTGTAGAGGGACTTAACTTCCTTTGTTGGGTTGGACTGTTGTATCATGGGAACGTCTAAAGAGTTTTGTCTTATTAACAGTCTACCGACATCATCCACGCTAACCCTTCTGCTCTCTGCAAGCGGCGACCGAGATGACGAACGTGCGCGGAGACACGGCGAGTTATGAACACTGTCCAGCTCGAGACTCTTTTGTTTCGATTTGAAATCTGATGAGCCATCATGAGACTTCTTAATTTACCATCTGCCAGCGGTTCCTCATCCTGATTCGACTGGCTTGAATGTTCTTGCCAGTTGTGGTATACTCCATCATTTTCATGTTTTCCAAGTCAGACTTGATGATTGCCGTTCCTTCTGAAATCGTCTCAGCGCGCTATCGAGTTCCGGTGACAGGGTACCAATTTGCTGCAACGTCTTCCTTGATTTTTCTCCTAAGAGTTGGTGTAAGACTTCCACCCACTATCGCCCTATGTAAATTTTCTGAGAATTTTCTCCTGAGATTTAGTGATTTCCTAACGGGAACTCGACTCGAGCTTTCCAATTCAGATCCAGAAACTGTGCCCCCATGTGAAAACGTCTGGGCACGTTTGCGCCCAGTACAAGGCGACAAATATACAGCCACGTCTTCTGAGAATTTTCTCTCAATGCTGAGAGATCTTTGAACTACATCAGGCAGGTGTGGCTTACGGATATGTGCTACGTTCCCTTGAGCTTCGGAGTTATGCGCAAATCTGCTTGCAGGCCAACTGGCTTTTATTTCTGAGTTGCCCTTTGCTGCTAAAGTTGGTGAACTTAGGGTATTGTTGTGTGTGTTGTTGTTAACCGCGTTATTTTCTTGTAAAACCATTCTGGCTGCCAACAAAGAAGATTTTCTGTGTCGTCTGATGTCGTTAATGGTTTCCTCGGCGATTTGTCTCTCGCGACGTATATTTTTCATTTCTTTGTTGTGTTCTTTTTCGAATCGCTCAATCTCCATCTGGAGCAAGTTGTCCTCATTGGCATTGAGACGCTTCGCTTTTTCGGCCCTCTTTGAGAGAGTCAAACTACTCGCATACATTGTGATCAGCAGCTCCTGAACTAGACTTTCTCAAAGTCCGTTTTTATGGGAGTCCAGTGGGGCGGAATACGCGATTCCGTAGCTCGTTCCTCTGACTTCGTCGCTCGTCCCTCTGACTTCGTCGCTCGTTCCTCTGACTTCGTCGCTCGTTCCTCTGACTTTCGTCGCTCGTTCCTCTGACTTCGTCGCTCGTTCCTCTGACTTCGTCGCTCGTTCCTCTGACTTCGTCGCTCGTTCCTCTGACTTTCGTCGCTCGTTCCTCTGACTTCGTCGCTCGTTCCTCTGACTTCGTCGCTCGTTCCTCTGACTTCGTCGCTCGTTCCTCTGACTTCGTCGCTCGTTTTTCTCAAAGACTAGCATAAAAAGACGACTTGGGGCGAGTCTGCTCCTAAACTTGAATCCCTAAGGACATTTACTTTTTTTTGTCTTGTTGGTTACTCAACAGAAAGCAACAAGTGAATCCAACTTCGCAAAAATCAACGCAACCGTGTACAAAACAAGTGTACAAACTCTGAGAACGGAAAATACATAACATAACTTACTATGCTAATATCGCAGACTTTATGAAATTTCACGAGTTGTTGTTAAGTGTTTTGAAATGAATTTTGCAAGGCAAACATCTAACCGTTGTATCTTAGTATTGCCTTTTACATATAAATTTATCGGCCTCCTACCACAATATAATACAGTAACGGACCATGACACTACATAAATAAAAAAAAATAAAAAAAAAAATTCTGTGTATTTTTTTCTTTTCCTTTCAACATGTCTTCTTCTTTCCGAAATTTTTGATTATTGAGGTAACCGAATGTAATCACTGTCTTGTCTTGTTTTGAATTGCTGCCTCAATTAAAGTTGTCCTGATAATTAACATATATTAAATCTGCAGCTAGCTGAACAATGAGTGATACATTTTCATCGATCCTTTAATTACTTTCTCTGGCGGGACAACACCTCTGATACCGGGTAGTCAGTGTAAAATTAGCCAGAGTTAAGCTTGTTGTACCACCATGGTATCCCTTCCTATGTGCTGTAACTTATAGTCTCTGGTGATATCAGAGAAGTATTTGCTCTCATTGGTCAATGATTCACGATCTACGCAATGTCTTGCTCCAATATGCCTCGCGAGTCGATAGTTTGCCATGTAACATTTTCAACGTGGTCTCATTTTATATTCTTATGAAAAAAGGAAACAAACTGATTTGCAGTGACAAAAATAAATAAATAAATTTTTCTTTTGTTGAAAAGATGATTACCGACTATTTAGAACTACGCAAAAACAGCGTCTGTCCAGGTTCAGCGAATGCTATGGAGTAATCGACTTTTCGGCCTCTTCTACAGAGAACACTGCTATGAAATAAAGCATATTTGACAGTAAACCTCAAGTATCGCTAATTTAATGTTATTCAAAACTTTAAAAATACAACGCAGTTAAGTTTGTTTACATAGACGTCCAGTTTACCAAAATTCGTACACACGAAGAAGTGCTAAATTTAATCATGTGTCTTTTGAAAATCCTCATTTGGCGAGCAAATAATCGAATACCAAGAAACACTTGGAAAGCAAATGGAGGGCAAATATTGTCAGACAAAAAAAAAATTCAATATGAGCTTCTCAATCTTGTCTGATATCAGCATCATTCTAAACATCAACCTAGCACTGTAATGTTAGTCCTCTACATCACTGCTTCTCAGGTATCTGCAGTAACGAAGCTCGTCAAATGGTCCTGACACAGGTTCGTTTTCTTTCCAGTGAGTAGCAATTGGCAGTGCTGCTGAAGACACTCGTTTGCCACTAACGACATGATTCGCTGACCCGATAAATTCGGATACGTCAGAGTTCAGGTTTTCTTTAAGTTTTATATCTTTTAACTGACTTGGGTCACAAGGAAGAGACGAACTTCGTGTTCTGGTAAGAAGAATTTTCGGTCTCGTATTATTATGATCAATAACCCCCTTTGGCTCTCTGTCATCACCTTTCTTCAGAGGGGTATCGCTTCCGCATGTGATTTCAGAATTCCCTAAGGATTTTTCCTGATCTGGTTTATTTTCTTCGTCAGGATCACTATTGATATCCTTGTCATTGAGAGAATTTTCAGCTTTAAGAATTTTACGACGCAGCTGTGGACTTAACTTTCCTTTGGCACTCGTCAAGTAATCGGAACGTGACGAAGAAATTGGAAGATCATTAACTGAAAGTCTGTCGGTTCTTCGTTGTCTCGCAGTTTCTGAACTTTGAAGTTGCTTTCTTCGCAAAGTATCTTTAGCAGAACTAGGTTTCACAAAAGCCTCTCTTGGCAAAGAGGATGAAATACCTGTCCTCGGCAGCGAAGCAGGGATCGGAAACGCTCGGCTCTCTTTCGGACCTCCAGGTAGAAACGTTGGAGGATGTGGTAACGAGAAACGCCGGACTCTGGTAGATGCACGATTTGGAACTTCTAGATGTTCGGAACGAGTATTGTGGATCCCTGGCAATGACGCTTTGGAATTGCTCTTTATCCGTTCCTCCACGCTTGATTGCAATTTGTTGTCGAACATCATTGTACTTCCTTCTCGGCGATCGTCATGTACTGACTTTCCTCCTTCTACTTCACCTTCTCTCCTTGCACCACGATGGAAATTAGCTATTTCAGAATTGGGGCGCATTTGCATTCTTTCTTGTGCCAAATTTCTCATAGAGTGGCGAACTTTCTCCTGCATGTTCTGGATCTCAGCCAAGCGACTGGCGTACTCTTTGTCAAACTTTTCAAACGTTTTCCTAAGCTGGTTGCTATCACGCGATACAATGTCACGAACCCGCTTGTTGAACTCGATTTTTTTTGTCGTCCTTCGACTGTGCGACATGATGAATAAGAAACCCCACTTCGTTTTAGCTCAGCGCGGTTATGTCAAACAACTGACAACAAGTTGAATGCCTTTTGATTCAAATTATTGTAAAAGACTTGCATCTATTAAATAGCATTTATCGCTCTGTTTATCTGAATGTTGCGTTTTGCGTCGCGTTGACACGTAAAGGAGTTGATAGCGTGTCACTTACAAATTCGTGTGTGTCTAAACAAATTTGACAGAAATGTCATTGATTTTACTGAATTGAGCAAGCAGAGGCCAGCTATATACGGATTTGCGTAATAAGCTGAGTAAACATTAGTGTTAGTTATGAAAGAACTATTAGCATAGTGATTAGCATAGCACTATTAACATAGCTTCATGATGTAAAAGTTGTAATTACGTATATGTGACTTGTAGCCAAGTTTGCCTTCGAAAATCTGGCACCAAACGAAATTAACAAGACTATACCCAAACGCCCTCGCAAATAAGAACTCTTTCAACGGGTTGTTAAGAGTAGTGTCGAAGTTTCCCGACTGTGTTGTTTTCAAAGCTCTATCGGACGCTTTCCTTATCTCCTCGCTCTAACGCGTTTTGATTGGTCTTGTGACATAAACAGTTCCTTACAAATACTACTTTTTCCTGTCTAGAACTACCTCATTAGATGGATAACTTGGTTTCCATAATTCGATCAAGCTTATACTCTTTCGAAATTGGTATCGTGGCCATCGGACGGATGTAAGGAATTGTTATAATCATTTCAAAAAGAAAATAATTTCCGCTGGGATTAAGAAGTGCTTGAATGGCTAATTGCCATAGAAAATTCTAAATTGCGAGGAGAGAAGAACAAAAACAAAAAAAAATTGATGGTTCAATGAATGGAGACTCAGACATTGTAGTTCTTACATTTTGCGAAATCGGCATTTTGAGTAACTCTGTGTGGTTGTTTACGGAACTACGGGTAATTACAATGTTCTAATTTACCGCCCACAGGATATGATTACCAAGTAAACATTATTTTTGGAACAAACAGAACAGTTTAGATAAGAGATTTAAACCGTCGCATTGAGTCAATAAAGCAAATTAAAAATTTAGGTATACTGTTTTAACACAAACAAATTAATTGCTGTCAAACAAATTAAGTAGGGGCAAGAATAGCTTCGTCACGGTATATGTGCACCTTTTAGAATCAAAGCTTTATTTTGAAGTTTGTAATTTGCAATCAGTTTTTAACTCCCCTTCATCCTTTGTCATCCTTGTTCTCTCTTGGTTTATTAGAGCGCTTTTCGATTAAATGTCATAAAACTAAAACCAAAGTGATTACAAAGGCCAATCAGCAGAACGAAGAAAACCTTGAAGAGCCAATGAGAGCTCAAAGTAAAAACAAGCAAACCGCCTAAGGTGCGGGAAAACGCGTCGTTTTAGTCGTGATTGGTGTTAGTTTTGCATCCGCAGGTCAAGCGAATGGCGCGAGTTTTCTGGATAAATCACGGATCATACTAAAGCAAAACCAGTGCAAACTTGAACTATTTGAAAATTGCTCTATTGTCTCAATTGTGTATTTCCATCTTATCAAACTGAAGGGGGTAAGTTTTTAAAGAAACTGTGGTGGTACGTCGGTTGGGATAAGAAGGTAATTTGGTTATCGACTAAATTGAAATTGTAAATTAGCCACCTGAACGGGTTAAAAAACTGATGTTTCGAGCGTCAGCCCTTCGTCAAAGCGAAGTACTCATTTACAGTTTCAATCCCTAGTTTCTTTTCGTGTTATCTTTGCCTCTTTGGTGCCTCTTTGGTGCCTCTTTGGTGCCTCTTTGGTGCCTCTTTGGTGCCTCTTTGATGCTTGTCTACCCGGACTCTTTAGTCCTCAATCCTGAACTATTTTTCAAAAGTTTTCGTACAATCAATACATGATGATTTAATTTCTACAAATCAAATAAAACCTCTGAACAGCAAGAATCTCTGAAATCTTCTCTGAAAGAATTTTAACATCGTAATAGGTTTACTCTTGCAAAAGAGATAGCAGTATTAAATCGATCGCGATTCGCGTATAGTCTCGCTCGCAACTATTTCTATGCGCCTGTACGAAGTGGATTTTCACCTCATTTCTTTAAACTTACTCTGAAGATTATGTTCCCTCAAGCGAGAACAACCGTTAACTCTGAAAAAAAATTTAATTGATTTTAGAACTATTCTCTCACATTACATCCCTAGTACAAAGCAATAATCTAATCCTATTAAACCCATTAATTATCGCAGAATAAAAAATAATAATAGCAATAATGATCCTAGTTGAAGGCCCTTTCTTCCAGGTGGCTGTTATTAGCACGTAGGCCAATATCAACTTTTTGGGCTGTTACTGAAATAATGAGCTGGTAGAAGCCAAATTTAAATCCTCAACAAAGGCTTCCATTCAAGTATTCAAAGTTAACAAAAACAACCCTGCCTGGAGGAGGTTCTTATTCGTTATATTAATTGCCAGCTTTATAATCAGGACATTAGAGGTATGCAAACAAAACACAATCAGAACCTTTATGTTCACGTAGCTTTTGGCTAAGTTTTTCTTTTTGAGCTAATATGGAATTCGAACTTGGGCGAACCTCTACGAGGAGTCAAGTCAAGAAAAGCGAATTGCCTTCCGATATGCCATGCCTAGCCATGTCGTGCAATCGACAGAATAATGATTTACGTCACACGCCAAGCCAATTTGAGAAAGAAAAGTTAAAGCAGATGAAAAGCATCGAGGGTGACCTCTGGGAGTTGCAAAGGTTTATGCAAGAGCTAAAGTGCGTCACCGCACTGATTTCTGCAGAAGACATACGGAATGGGCAGAAAGTGTCTTACAAAGAACGATCGCTTGACGGAACTGGAAAGAGTGAGGCAACTCTGCACACAAATAACTTTCAACGTGAAGATGTGAGACTACATGGCGATGAAAAGATATTTTTTTTAACTCGCCAAATGGCTCCACCGACGAGAATCAAATGGAAAGAGCAAAGAACAGTTATTCGTTCACAGATTTATCACGCCAACAGAGAGAAAGAAAATGTTCCTTTTCTGAGAAAGTCTGTGAGCGAAGACGCAGCTACAGCGTCGGTAAAATGCAATTAGATTCACTAAACCACCTAAGGACAATTGCTGGTTACAAGCCAACGCTGTTTAGGAGGAGGAGGTTAATGGATGTCGTTACAATAGCGGCTGGTAAAACGATTGTGAACCAACCAACTCATAAAAATGATAAAGGCTGATAGTTTCTAAAGAAACTATTTGGGGCTGCGTCGGTGGGGGTAACGAAATAGTTTGGATATATCAACAAAGTTGAAATGGTAAATTGGACACCGTAATGATTACAAAAGCTGACGTTTCGAGCGTTAGCCCTTCGTAGAAGCGAAGGGCTAGCGCTCGAAGAAGGGCTAACGCTCCGACGAAGGGCGAACGCTCGAAACGTCAGCTTCTGTAATCGTTACGGTGGCCAATTTACCATTTCAACTTTGTTGATATATCCAAATCAACTCATAAAAACCCTATTGTTCCACCTCCAATGTGGAGCGACAGAGTACATGCAGTTAGTGCTGGTTTTTACGAGCCACTGAATAGATCAGTCATTCCAGCAGAAAATGGCTCCAATGCTATTAACTTTGAGCATTTGAAATGAAGCGTGTCGCAAAGGCTTCGGGTGTCTAGCATAGCTTCTCCTGAAAGAGTCTTACCATTAGAACAGGTAGCTCTTCATAATCTTTCACAAGACAACCTTTCAGAACTTTAAAGAAACTATCAAAAACCGAACTCGCTGTCATCAAATGCGAGAGATTCAACCAATAACACCGTTAATCGCAGGCTATTAGTGCAACGTGGAACTCAAGAAAAATAATTTATTAAATGCTCGCCATTAAACCATTATTTATTATTATATATTATTATTTATTAAACGCCGTTATCATTTATTAAACGCCATTATTATTTATTAAACGCCATTATTTATTAAACGCTCGGCAAGACAACTGGAAGGCTCACACAGTACAGACGAAGTTATGGTTCTTATGAAAAGTTCTCCTTCGTGCAACAGCCCTCAAAAACGAAAACTGGAAAGGCAGACGACATCTTACAAAGAAACCACATCAAGTCTTCTACGGAAGAAAAATTCCATAGACACGATCATGTCGTTTTTGCCAAAGGTCGGGAGGAAAACTTTGCCCCGCCCAAATGTAGTAATGATTTGTTCTGAAAAGCCGACTGAGACTTAAAGTGTCAGCCGAAACAAAATTTTGATTCCTGCGTCAGTTAGCACCTTCTTTCAAAAACATGTCCAACAGTAGAGTTTGAGAGAGAAATTTCAACTGTTTAGACTGATGCAGGAAAGATATAAATGTAAAGGAAGTCTTGTTTTAATGAAGTTAGAGGCGTTCCAGACTAGACGATCCAATATTGGTACTGGTGAAAAATTGTTCCAGGAGCTGAAAGGCTCTTGTCTAAAAGAATTATGCTTTGTTGGTGAAATCAAAAGCTTATGTAGGCGGAAACCTTTCTTTGTTTTTCTTTGCCTAAACCTTTGTAACCTTTCATAACGTGGTTCCAAAACTAAAGCGAATTCATTTATCGAGCTCACACAGCACAAGCCACTCACAGGCACCTTTTGTCTAGATGTTCAGCGGTCAAAGTAAGAGTTACGATTCTATAAATGGCATATAAGTTGTTTTTGGAGTGGTTATCGCTGTGGTTTCCTTGTCCATTTTTGTAATACAAGTATTCCACTATTCGGGTTATCTGCGTAGATATTCGATATCACGTTACCATGACTGCACGACCCAGCGACCCAGAATGTTTACTAAGTATAGCACAACTTTTGCGAAAACAGAGCTTCTCCAAATTGCAACTCGCCAAACAACCGAAAGGTTGACTGAAATCAGAGACACAACGAAAAGGTACAGATTATTTCGAAATTCTTAATTTAAAAAAAAGTCTCCTTTCAACTGTGGTCGAATTCATAGCTAGGAGCTCCTGTCTTAATTGATTACTAAATCAATCAGAACACGATCAGTTATCGAGAATGCGTTACAAACTGATTTCACCATCTGGACTTTGACCAAGTAATTTTTGCCAATGAACGTCTGTGATTTTCTACCTATCAACAGTCTTTTTTAAAAGTATAAAATACTTAAAGTAAATTTCTCTCAGTGAAAACAGCATACATTTTTTAGTTTAAAATTGTTAGCACACTTTATAACATTCAAAGCCCAAGGAGAACTATTTATAAAACATCATGCGGGTACAAAGTCCTTTGTTATCATTCTTAGAGACACCCGCCGCGACCCGAATCGCAAATAAATGAGAAGACTGAAAACGTGATCTTGATAGATTTGAATTCCAATCCATTTAAAAGAATTGTTTCTAGGGAAGCATCTTTCGCTGTAGAGTCTTGAACCTTGATTGATCGCAAAGCAAAATCTAGAAAGTACATGTATCAAGATCGAGAAGAATAGGACAAATTATCTTGGCTGCTTTGTTGAAGAGCATAAGTGGGAACAAGTGCAGAGGATTTCCCCAAAGCAGAAACTCGAATGATTCGTTGAAATATCAATAAATCTTATATATGAATAAGATACCTTCTTTGCCAGTTCCAAGAGTACATAGTCCTCCTTTGTTTGCGCATCAGAACCTTGATTCCTTGAATGAAGAGTCAGTGCTGCTCACGTGTAAGACTGACATCGATGACCTTAACATGACTGGACGATCAAACATAACTTTCCAAAGAAATTCTTCAAACCCTATTGGCAAACTCTGAGATAGTGGCGATTTAATATAGCAGGCGCCATGGCTCGATGCTATCTTCTGAAGAAACACGTAGCGGAAATCGAAGATTTACCGCAAAGAGATTTTGTACAACTAAAACGACTTTTGAACTAAACCCTGAATCAGCTGGCCAAAGTGCAAAATTTACTAGCGCGTGATATGATGACGTCAACTTCCTCACACGCACGTTTCTGAGGTCTCTGCCAATTTAGTGAGCATGCGATAAATTTCCGTGGTACCGATGGAAACAAAGGAGTACAGAACGGACAGAATATAGGAGATGGAAACTGGGAAATGAAAGACATTGTTTTGAAACATTTTCGATAATAGTAGCGATAATTCATACAACTTCATTCGTGATATTTTTGTAGCCATTGAATGGAATTGACGAAAGCATTTACCATTTAAAAGTTCTTTGAGTCAGGCAGTTTTCACTCTTAGAAACGGTTAGTTATGTTATAACGACTTTTTTTTTTTTTTTTGCGTATCACCTGCCATTGCATATTAAGCTGGTACTAACTCTGAAATATGTAAATATTCAAGAAGATCCGTTAATTTTTTTCCTCCACAAACGCTTTAGGAAATGCTTATATATGAATAGACATTGTTTATTGTCTTACGCGCATCAATGTACATGTTCTAGCAAAAGATTAGCAAAGGTGTAAAATATAAGATGTTTAGACTGGCATACTTCTGGAAAACATGGACTCCATGAGCAGAATTGAAAAGAATCTCGGAAAATAAACGGAATGAGGATATCAACAGCTCAACAAAATTGACAAACGGTCAATCATTTTAGCAGGTGGCCCTTGGCAAAACTGTCTAAGGCCCACTAGGCGTAAAGAAAGTTGAACAAGCTCCTTAATTTTCCCATCAACGAACCCCAAAACAAACTTGTTACCAGCAAATTTGCATGTCAAAATGCTGAAATTGGTTAAACTTCAAACAAAGTTAATGACGTTCGACTTCGGACAGGAAAAAATAAAGGAAGTGCTTTTGTATACAAAACAAAAAGGGGAATTCTCGTTGTCAAATTGTGCGAGATAGTGAAGGTAATAAAAGAAGCCACAATTAAATATACAAAGATTTAGGAAAGAGTCACGATTTACCAGCAATGCATTTGCAATTTATCATGTTTTGACGAATTTGATCGGTATTTGGTTTCAAATACGCAATGCCACAATGATTATTATTCGGTATGAATTTCACTAAGAAAGAAACGCTCTCCATCACGTCTTCACATGATTCCGAAGAGTCTGTCAAACGAGTTAGCTATAGGCCCTCAGCCAACAAGCGAATTTCTGCCTTAAACGTGCACGAAGATCGCATTCTTCGTCGTAAGATAAGCGCCTATCACGAGATTCACAAAAAGGAGATCGCCGAGGTTTCTAGAAAACTTGTTGAAATCAGGGATTCGATGAAAGAACTAGCGACGGATCCATTATATGGAAACCATTCTTTGCAGAATGTAGAAGGATCTGGAGATGGTAACTCTATTAGAACTCCTGTTACAAACGAGCAAAAGTTAAAACTTGGTCGTTCGCAAAGCTTTCCCGATCTAGGGGATCGATCAACCACAAGCACTAAAACAAACAAATCCTTATTCCCCATCCTCAAACATGGACATCATGTCGTTCAGAGCATTGGAAACTCGGGTAAAAGAGCACCAATCCATCGTGGAGAGTTAAAACCGAGGGTGAAATCCACTGGCTTGCCACGAAGTGCTCAAATAACCAAGTGGCAGCTTACGGAGCATAAAAAGCTGGAAAGGTCTAAAACAGCACCTGTTACAAAGCTCCAGCCACTTTTGATCACCACGCCAGAGATGATGCGAAAAAAAATTAACATTTCTACTTTCAGTCGACCGATAAAAATAGATGAGGTCTCGTGCAGAAGACGTATTTCACCGTGTTTAGTGGAAACGGAACCGAAAACAACCCCAATGCATTCCCCACGTGATTCAGAAACCTATGTTCATCGACCCAAGTCGACATCTGATACCCAGGTATTACCTTCACACAGCTTCTCGAACGATTCAAAGAGGCAGTTCAATTTTGCCAGCGAGAAAATGCTTACCAAAAGAGAAGCAAATGCAAGTCACAGAGGTCATTCCTTCTCTAGTGAAAAAAATGGTTACGAACAAGAATCGCCCGTGGCAGCACCTCGAAGTATTTCCAAAATTCTCAAAACTATAAATTGGAAGTGAACGATGCTACTCCAGAGAGCAATGAAAAGGGTATCGATGATTTAAAATATTGTCGATACTTATGAATTTGTACGGAAAACTAAGAAAGTAATCGAATTTGGCGGAACAGAAGACTTAGAAATGGAGCGAATCCAAATTTACAACCGGATATGACACAATGATAGCTCAACATGACTGTGGTACTAAGATGGGAAACCATTTTATTTCTGTTGCCTGGAAACGAAAGAATAACTCTTCAACATCCTCGCTGTTTTGATTTGATATATTCAGATGATGATTCACTAATGTGAAAGCAAGCTTAACTTATTTATCGAAACAAATAAAACTGAAACAGTTGCTGAGCTAACTTTTAGTCAAAGAATGAGGCATAACACACTCAAATCTTACAGAGACTTCAAACGTCGAATGGAACGGAAGAACCTCAATGATTTCCTATTAAATTTTTGGCATAAGCTTCATTATATATTATGAACGTGAAACTGGTGTAATCGTGTAGCAAATATAACAATGGCAATCGCCTCAAAATCTTTGAAATGGCTGTTGACCAAACATGTAAGAATTTAAATCATTCCTTAGATTTTCCCCTAGAATTTCAAAGTATAAAATAATGACTATAATTTTTGACTGAAGTTCATAGTAATAATTTTTGGAAATTAATGAGGTAACGAATATCATTCATTTTGCAGTTAGCAATATTTCATCGCATTTCCTTTTTCTATTGCAAAACAGAAAATATATAGCATAAAGATTTGTCCGTCGATTGAATTACAAAGAAAGAAGAAGAACAATTACTGCACTTCTCTCGTACACATTATCTCTATGATAACTAAAAGACAATTCATGAAAGGATAAAAAGCAAAAGCGATAAATATGGTGCAAACTTTATTGTTTCAACCATTTTACTGATCTTTTTTCTTTGCGTCCTATACGTGTAGTTTAAATTTATACTTTTGTTCTTAAAGAATCGGGTTAAAATTTGCTCTTTTTCTTTGTTGATCGTTCTTTACGTTACCAATCAATGTTTTTTTGTTTTTTTGTTTTTTTATTTACTACTTGTTTTGTATTTGAACAAGAAGTAATTTTGAAAAGCATTTAACAATAAAAATTGCGATAAAACATTTTAAGATTAAAAAGTTGCTAAATGACGACGACGTTTCTACGTTGGCTAAACGTCATTATCAAGTCAAAATATGTTTGTGAGTTCCAGTCTACAAATATCCAGACGGACTCCATACGTGTGAAACTTTTTGTTTAATATTTTTTAATCATCTTTTTCTCACGTTACAGCTTTTAATCAGCTATTGTTTTTTAAGTATTTATGGACTGGAACTCACAAAAATATTTTGAATTGATAATGATGTTTAGCCAACGTCGAAATGTCGTCGTCTTTTAGCAATTTTTTAATCTTAAAATGATTTTGAGAAATGTTTTATCGAAATTTTTTATCGTTAATTGTTTTGTATTTGTTTGTTTTTTGTTTGTTTGTTTGTGTGTTTGTGTTTTCCTTTTCTGTTAAGACAGAATGTACCCACAAAGTATGTTATCTAGGATGTGCACTTAACTCTGCCCGGCTTCTTCTCTTCGCAGCATCCTTAGCATCATACGTATCTAATACCGCAGTTCAAAATATATGAACTTCATATATTCATTGTATCTGATTTATCATCACGGGTTTATTACGAATCAACTTAACCGGGCCTGCTCCTAGTTGGCTTGTTAGCTCAATTGGTAGAGCGCTGCACTAGTATCGCAGAGGTCAGTGGTTCGAATCCCGTACAGGCCTGATTTTTTCCAGGTCTGATTTTCGCTATTGCATAAATAGCGCTCTGTACTGCGAGGATCGTGCATCATACGTATCTAATACCGCAGTTCAAAATATATGAACTTCATATATTCATTGTGTCCATAGCTTGTGTTGGTTTAAATTCTTCTTTCCCTCAAAGCTGATGACAAAAATGCTGACAAAACTGATGCAAATATTTCCTTATTTGCATCACAGTAAACATTTTACTTGCAAGCCATGAAAGTCGTTAAATCATTGTATATTAAAGTTCACAAAGTAACCAGGTGTACAATCGGACACGGTTTGATGCAACTCTGGTTTAACAATTTAATGGATGTAACCGGGGAATTACGATTCTTCGATCCATCGTTTCGAAACTTCTATTCGAAAAAAAGGAAAGGCATTAAACAGAAAACGTTAGGTCGCTGAATTGTAATTCTCCGGTAATATTGATTTCATTACATCCTTAAACCAGAGTAGCATAAAACCATGTCTCGTTAAATTTTTTTTTTTTTAACATAAATCATACCTTTGTCAGTTCAAGGTATTAAATGCGTTCTAGGTTGATGGTAATTTCTTTTGAGAAAAAAACCATAACTGGCAAATCTGCACCTAACAAAGTTTTCATCCATTATTTACGGTACTAAGAGGTAGACTGCGTACGAATACGAATTACAGATTGAAGCAAAACTTTCTTTTTAAATTTTCATTAAGGCTAAGATCTTTGTGCCAAGAATTACATTGATAAAGACATCACACAGATTTCATGCTAAATTATTCATGAAAAGTAAATATCGTTGAATTGACCTTCGTATTTCACACGGTATTTTCACTGTATTAACTGGAAGTCCCTTTTGAAGTGTTTTTTTCTTTTCATCTAAGCGATCGGGGTAAATACAAGGCAATTTTCTTCAAATCGACTCATGTTCAAAGAAGTGTCATGGGGAGGCAGTATTTCATTAACTCGCATGCATCTTAGGAAAATCAGCTCTGACGACTAATCCATGCTAGCTTCCTTTTAAGAAAACACTCTTCACAGTTTTTGACTCGGATTGCATTTTAGTAGAACTTTGTCAACAACCTACAATGGATAAGAGGAAAACGATTGATTTTCGGCAAACTGAAAAGGCTTCAGTGGCTTATTTCCACGAGCAGTCAATACTGCGTAAAAAATTGGACCAGTTTCAAAGAGAGCAGGACAAAAGCCTCAAAAAGATCTCAAGCAGACAAGATACATTAGCGAGGGATTTTTTGGGCCAAATTGGCAAGAGTCGAAATAAAAAGCTAGCAGTTATGGAACATTGGCATATACGATCCTCGCATACCGACCTATTTTCCAGACATGATTCTGTAAGTGCAGAACGTACATATATACCAGATATACTCGTTCGAGCCCGGAAAGTATCTGCTCCGAGCGATACAAGATCTAAGAGCGGTAGAGCCTCGATCTCCAGTGACATTAACAGTAGCAGAAAAGCGAGTGACCCCGAATATTTTTCAGGTCGGACAATAGATTATGGAGAGCGCCAAGCTGTCGGCGTTCCGAGGAGAAAACTAACTACTGGTCATGTTGATTTAGCGGCTTCTTCCGGAGGCCTTCCTCATTATGCTGGATGTTCAGGTTCGCCTATGGATTACGACGATGTAGTCAGTCAAAGTAGATCCAATGTCAGCGTTTTAAAGGCAAAGATGCCAAGTGGACAGTCCGGTGGCTTTTTTAGCGACACTTTATCTCGCACGAAATCTGAAAGGGAAGATTCGATGAGGAAGATAGATTTACCGACAAGTTTATCTTCATGTATCGACGCACCATCCAGAATGGTTAATGAGACAACATCGGAAGGTGTAAGCAAATATCGACGAGATAATTTGCTAAGCGCTCCCAAAAATATACTCGAGAATCGAAGGCAAATCTTTAATGGAAATTTGACCAGTTTTCAAGGTCTTCCTAATGATGTTGACAACAATTTCAACTCACAGGGAAGAGAAGAAAACAAAGATATTCCCAGAGTAGCACCTGGAACATTAATTACGAATGGACAATTTCAAAGCGCCAGACTAGATGTAAGCGGAGTTTATATTTCTGAGGAATTCTCAACTCTAGAGTCTAAGGAAGCGAATTTGTCTCGAGGAATAAGCAATGTTTACTCGGAGAAGGAAGTTGAAGTCGAAACCAGTGGTGAAAGCAGCAACACTTTTCAAAGAAAAGGAAGCTTATCAAGAGATCAAATAAAACTGGATTTGCATGAGTTAACAATCGCGACAACAACAGCAGCAGGTGCAAGAGGAGGAATACGTCATCATGGGAACGCCTGGAGTGACAAAAGCACGACTCCGAGGAGAAAGATTTCGACTGGGCAAGCGCCCCCCGGAGCTGTGATAAACCGGAATTCGAGAATATCGCGAAATGAAGAGAGTTTCATGGAACGGAATTCAGCAAAAAGTGAGACTGGAGAAAACAGTGATGGATTGAGAAGCTTTCGTTCCTTGGCGCTTGTGGCGACTGCGGCTCAAAGATTCCGCACTGCAACTACTAACGCAGGCCCAGAGAAACCTAAACCTGGTGTATCGCCCGACAAAAAAATTCTGACAAAAGCTAGATTATATGAGCTGCAGAGACCAACAGAAAGCTACTTGAGACAAGTAGCAGCAGTAGAAGAAATGTCCACAAATATCCTGAGATTAGGAACAAGAAGCAAATCCGTGAGTGGACCTAGCTCTAGAAAAATTTCAGTTAATGGAATCACAGATTTCCGACGAGTAAGTCAAGCTGCCTTGGCAACACGGGTTTTGATTGACAGAGGCATCAAAAAAGTGTCCACAACTGGGCTCTCATAACTGGAGTCTAGAAAAGAGACAAACCACTGTAAATCGCTCTCTGACATGATGAACGAATTGAAGAATTGTCGTTATTTGAGAAATTCGAGTCTCCACGATAAATGATATCGTTGGCTTTCGTAGTCCTCCTCTTCTTAATGGGCTTTCATAGCTGTTACCGTCTATGTTACATAACCAGGTTTATTGTCGGCAGGTTTACCTTTGCTGGATATCATCAGCTTTTACTGAAATCTCCTAGAGGCGCTATCTTAGCTCTTTATTTCATTGATAATAGCCATGGTGGTTCTGTAGAAGTGAATGTGTGAATACGAAAACAAAAAATCGCTAAGGCCCACACAACTCCAAAGCAATTATCTCAACACAAAATTCACTTTGATGCTCTTTTCAGCGCGCTAAGTGGTGATTACAATGACTGAACAAAATATGAGAATATTGTTTTGCCTTCTTTCATTCGGATGCTTTTATTCTCGATGTCATTTACCAATTGCTTCCCTCTAACTTAAATTTATTTTTTCCTTGGGGCTGATTTTGCGTTCTTTTTTACCATCCTCCTTCAATTTTTTACAAAGTATTTTAATTTCATTTATTTTACGTTTATTAAAAACACAAAAATATCAAACAAACGAAGTAAAAACAAACTTTACCGAGAATGAAATTGTATCTCTATTAGATATTTTACCCAACTGTGTTTTAGACCAATAACATGAGTCGCGCTGCGTTAGTTTAAATTTGTGAAATGAGAGTCCTTTTAAATGATTCGAAAGCAAGTGTTTTGTGTAGCAAATTTAAAATAGGCCATAAACCTAAAATAGACTCGGCTGTCGAAAGCATCGCCTTTATTTTAACGAGTATTAAACCTTTTTTAATTTTTTTGGGTTTTGTTCATGGTTTTTGATGCGAATTTGGCGAAAATAGAAATATCTATCCTAGATTATCACCTTGAGTTTAGTTTTTCAGCCGAAGAGTTTTTGGATCAGAATCAAGATTATCGCCTTCTCATCAAAGACGACAGGATGCTTTATTCAAGTACTTCCCTCTTGTGTAAACTTTAACAAGAAATAATTAGCAACTAAGGTAAAAGACCGGCAATTTCAATTTAAAAAAAGGGGCAAAAATCGATCTCCAAGGAAAAGATGTCTTATGTTCGATTTTACCGAAAACTATTGTGACCATTTTGGAGTTGGATCTTGGTCCATTAGATTTACATGGGATACTTTCGTAGTTACTCTTGCTTTAGGGTATCCAAGAGGCTAGTCTTGTACCTGAAAACAATTAAAATACGCGACGCCTTAATGTATTCATAAAATGGCCTGCTTCATTTGGGGTTAGGTGAT